ATCCATTAAGACTCAGTTAAGGCATTGTATCCTCTGGGAAGTCGCCTCTGCCTGTCCATCAGGCTCCTTCCTACCACCATTGTCACCCCTCCTCTCTCAACCTGTCCATCAGGCTAAGCCTTTGGGGACCTTTTCTCTTTTGTCATTATCTACCTGAAGCATAAGACTGTGAGCTGTAAAGGTTAGAGATCTATGGCTCCAGCATTCCAGCACCCAGGGTGGTGGCTGTGTCACCCAAACCCAGCTCAGAGTCAGTGCTCAGCAAGTGTTTCTGAGTGAATATATAATGTTCCTCTTCTTCTGAGCCACTGGCTCCTTTATTACCAACACCCTCTTACTCTCTGCCTCGATTGCCCATTATGGAACTGCTATCAGTTTACATAATTGCCAATTAAATATTTCCTTTGGTTGGCTACTCTGTTTTATTTCAGTAAGTTCAATTTATGGCAGTTTTTTTAATAGAAGATCCACCTAATATCTTTTCTGAAGCAAGATGAAATATAATAAATAAAGCATCCTATTTCTATAAGTGGCCTATTGAGTAACAATGCAAATCAAAATAAATAAATACCCCCATATATTGCAACATCAGTCCTGACATCTCTCTGAAAAATTGAAGATGGTAGGCCTATGTCAGTGGTTCTCAACAAGGGCGATTTTGTCCCCCAGGGGACATTGGGCGATGTCTGGAGACATTTTCGGTTGTCACAACTAGGAGGGGATTACTGGCATCTAGTGAGTAGAGGCCCACTGCCATCCACTACTATTAATAAGAATGCCAAGACAAAAAAATGAACTATTAAACTAGAGTTTGAAGAATATGTTACAAATCATTGGACCAAATATTCAGGCCACAGAGGAAGATTTAGATTTGATCTAAGGAACATTTTCCTAATAATGAGATTATTCGATGTTAAAATGGGTTCGTACTGAGGGGGCCGGCCCAGTGGCGCAGTGGTTAAGTTCACACGTTCTGCTTCGGCAGCCCAGGGTTCGCCGGTTTGGATCCCAGATGCAGACATGGCACTGCTTGGCAAGCCATGCTGTGGCAGGCGTCCCACATATAAAGCAGAGGAAAATGGGCACAGATGTTAGCTCAGGGCCAGTCTTCCTCAGCAAAAAGAGGAGGATTGGCAGCCGATGTTAGCTCAGGGCTAATCTTCCTCAAAAAAGTAAAAGAAAAAAATGGATTCATACTGAGAGAACTGTGGTTCTCCACTCTGGTTGTTCAGTAGAGTAATCTGGGAAGCTTGAAACACTACCAGTGCCGGGGTCCACCCTCAAGGGAATCTAATTTAATTAGTCAAGGATAGGATCCAATAATGGGTATTTTTGCAAAAGCTCCCCAGATGATTCTAATGGGAGCCAGGGCTGGGTACCAACAGCCCAAAGCAAAAGCAGGAGTCCCAACAACCTGTGCTTCAGCAAAAGAAAGTTGACTTTTAACTAAAAGGAGGCTTACACTATAGGAACACTGTGTCATTCCAGCCCATGCCCCAGCAGTGGACCTTGTACAGCTTTCTATCTGCGGTTGCTGCCCGATTGTAAGAGGTCTGACAGCTGATGCCTAAAGTGCAGCCAAGAGAGAGAATTCAGAATCCGATGCTCTAATGAAGAGTGACCTCTGGAGCTTTACTCTCTGACCCTCGAGACACCAAGAGTTCCTTTCCTTTAGGCTGGTTTCATGGCTTATGCAGAGATGAGGAGCCATTTATTTGTTGGTTGGTCCAAGCACATGTTACAGTTGCTCTTAGATGCTCATGAGCAAAAAGAACAGGAGGAGGAAGTGGGAAATGGCCCGACTTCAGACCACTAAGGATGTCCAGGACCGGCCCTTTCATTTGCCACAGGTGAACTAGGATGCAAGGAGATAAAATTCCCAAAACACAGAGGGCTTGGAGCAATAATGCATCTTTTTTTAAAAAATCTTTTGCAGATAGAGTTCACAGATTTCTCCTTGACCAGTAACCAGACCATTTCTCTGGACAGAAAGACAGAGTGGGCATTCATAGTAGGAAAATTGTAGCTTTTGTCCATATATTAGGCATTTGAACCAGGCCGTATGCGTTCCTACACACAGCTGTAGAGAATTATTAGGCATTAAGGGCCAGCTGAAATGAGGAAGTACATGTGAAGGATGTCCAACAATTAGTCCACAGGAGAAGGAAAGAGTAGAGGATGGGGCAGGGAGGGGCTGGAGAGAACAGGAATGGAGAGGGAAGAACGCAGTTTAATCTAACATGGCATGGGCCTTCTTTTCCCATTCTAGAGTTGAAGATGCTGAGGTTCAGAGAGGCGGTGAATGAGAGAATAGAGGCCAGGTCCACTTCACTCCAAAGGCTCTTTAGGGGCTGGAAGTAAGAGCAAGGTCAGCAGAGGCAGCCAGGCAAAATTCCTCCCCCACCCGGCCTTCGGCTCATGGGGCTCACTTGCTCCTGAATAGACAGACTTTCACATTTTCAGAGCTGCTCACCACTTCCCAAAAGAACCTGACCCAGCTGGGGGTTTACATGAACCGTAGTAACCACGGCGTGGAAATAAAAGGGCCTGGTGGGAGAGGTGGAGGCTGGGATGAACAGGTGGCCACGTGAAGAGAGGCTGAGAGGGAAGCCCTTGTGAGGGAGGAAAGGACTCAAGAACCACCACCAAGTTGCAAATACGTTTTGATAAGCTGACCCTAGTGTCCCGTGCGGGCTGCTATAGCCAGAAATACTCTTGTTTTAATACAGGTGGTTGAGTTTGTCATTATGAAAATAATATGGGCTTATTACAGACTGTGCAGAAACTGCAGAAAAAAGAATGATGGAAAACAATGCTCCTTGGTAAAAACTGCTATTAAAATTTGTGGCAATTCTTTCCAGTCTTTTTACTATTCATATATTTCACATTTTTGTGATCATGAATTACATGTTTCCCGCTCTTATTTCTTAGCAGTATAAAACAAGCATTTCCTATCTTATCATTTAAAGTGTTATAATTATATTGTAATTGTATATATATATATTTATAAATCAAATATAAATTATTGCAGTTTAGAAAATTATGAACTGTTCTCTCATATACATAGACTCCAATGTACCTGACCTGTTGTTGAGCATTTAGATTAGGAGATCCATGATAACACACTTCAGAATGCAATTACTGGACCGAAGATACAGATGTTTTGAGGACCTGAGACAGTTAAGGGGGCTGGATCCTCACTCCGACAGGCCTTCTTAGAGGAGTACCTATTCCTGGGTTTGATCCTCAAGCTTAGCACGTCCATAAATTCAGTTTTGTGCCTATCAGGAATGATTGGTTCTTAGGAACTGTCCACAAGTTAACTAAAACTAATGTGTAACGGAAATTAAAAGCACCATGTGGAGGGTGTGGAAGTCATTAGGCTTTTGCCAAAATCTTCTGTTCTCTTTCTCTCAGACTCACTGCAGGGTCGAACTTCCTGTTCCCTGTGGTCGGCTGGGGCATGTCTAGTTCTGATGAAGAGTCAGAATTGGAAGTAAACACTTCTTTGCAGAAGGAAGACCCTCCAGAGTTCTCTTTCCCTCTGTCGCTGTGGCTGGCAGTGTTTGAGAGGGTGTCTGCTCCATCAGCCTGGCTCCCTGAGTGACTACTGAGCAGAGCCCTCTGCCAGCCCACAATGACAGTGTGAGCAAAGAACAAAACCCTACCGTCGTAAGTCACTGAGACTTGAAATTTGGTTGTCACTGCAGCATGCCCTAGCCCATCCTGACTGGTACAGAGGGGCTATTGACACTAGCAGGCCCAGTGTCTTTAATCTCTGTAATTAGAAATCAGCTAAAGTTAAAAGATTGCTCTTAGGAATTAATCAGAATAAAAGAAAATACTTATATATTCAGCTGTTTCACCATGCTTGATTAAAGGTACTGTAACAGTCGATGTTACTTAAGACTCCCTCCTCCCAGATGGTCTAAGCTGGGCAATGCCAACATTTACCTCCCTCTCCTCTTCTACCCTTTGATCATTGACCAAGCCAACTTCTGATGGTCACAGTCGTCCTTTAACTGTCGCTTTTGTTTTAAAAGTCATACAGTATGCTAGTTTTAAAATGAACACTTTAGAATCGGATGAAAAGATCTGCTTTCTCCCCTCCGCTACCAGCCCACTTCCCGGGGTTCCGTGTGGGGTCTACCCCCGCAGGCGGTTCAAAGTACAAATGGCATCTCGCTCTTCATGTTCTTCTGTGCCTCGCTTTGTTTTCACTTAGTTTGTCAGGTATCTTTTCATGTCAGTGCATATTTATTTACCTGTTTCTTTCTAATGACAGCAGAGTTCTCTGTTTCCAAGATTTCCCATCCTTCGTTTAACTGGTTTCCTACTGATAGACGTTTTTGGTCTTTCCAGCCTTTTGCTATTGTTGATCATGCTTCAGTGAACATCCTTATAAAATATATATTTTGCACACTTGTGCAAGTTGATCCAGAGGGAAAATTCCTAGAGTAGAATTCTGAGTTGAAGGGAATTTTCAGCTTAAATGGCAACAAATATTGCCAATTCCCTTCCCGAAGGTCGAATCAATTTACATTTCCATCAGTACCCTGGGGGAGTTCTTGTCTCTTCCCACTCTCAAGAGTGTGGGGTATTATAAAACTTTTTTAAATCTCTGCCATTATAATCGTAAAGAAAGGTATTGCATTGTTGATTTAAAGTGCGTTTCCTTAATTATAGGTGAGTTTGTGCTTGTTCTTTCTTTACTTATGTTCATACCGTCAGTCAAGTGTGGTGGGGCCTGGGTAGCATTCTTTCTCCTTAAGGTGAATTGATTTTATTATTTGACTCTCCGAGAATACCCTTATTTTCAAGCACCTCTTTGTTGCCATTATTCACTTACTGAATAAACAGGGCTCACAGCCTTTCTAAACCTTGTTATAGATATTGCTGCTTGGGTGTTTTCCAATGACATCATCCAAAGCAGATGGACTGGGAATTGACCAGCTCTCGCCCCTCTCGCTTAATTGATATGACATATTTTTTCATTGCAGCAATTCAGCTTTGTGTCCTTGCCCACTGACGTGCTGGAAATTGAGGTGAAGGACAAGTTTGCCAAGAGCCGCCCCATCATCAAGCGCTTCTTGGGAAAGCTGTCGATGCCCGTGCAGAGACTCCTGGAAAGACATGCCATAGGGTAAACCTGGGACCGAGACTCAGTATCAGTGGCTTCAGCCAGCAGGCCATGCCCCGGGGAGGCCTGTGAGCTGCAACAATAGAACATCCTAGAGATGCAAACTAGGATGGTGGTGTTGAATTTCCTTGGTTTCTCCCATTCATTCTGTTGCTTGACCCACAACCTTCAATTCAACAAATGCTTCCCTTTCCCCTTGTTTGTGTATCACTGGTTACTTATGCAAGAAAGTAAAAATGCCTAAGACATAATATTGAAAGAAGCCCTTAATGCAGCCTTTTTCTGTACAGGTAGAAATTAAAATTTGTTTTACTATGAAAAATATTATTTCATTCATATGCCTGTCTTGTGTGTAGGATTTAATCATTTGTGACATTTCCATAACAAGATGAAATGCTGGGGTGCTAGAAGAGGATGCCTTAGAAAATTCTAGGATTTATAGAAAACGCTAGATAACATGAAATATTAAAACCATGAATTCTCATGGAACAATAGCAATTACATTTTTCACATAATTCAGTGGCATATGAGAATATGTTTCTGTGTTTTGTATCTTTTACATTCATGTCCATTCATGGTTCTCATTAAAGTGAACTCTGAGCAGATAAAATCCTTATGTATAATATATATTTCCTTAGGTAACAGCAGCTGTATTTGAAAACACTAGGTATAGCTCTCTGGCCATAAACTTATGCTTCAATACAATATAACTCTTAGAATGACATCAAAGGAATGAGAAAAATTATGCAGAATTTCTAAAAGTCTGAATTTAAAGCTCTATAGGTTTTTGTAAGGACCTTGGAATCACTAATGGTTCTCAGAAGGACATTTAATTAGAACCTTCTAGCACGTGTGCAGCTGTGTGCACATAGATACACGTTAACTCTCAAGCCAAAGGGAGTTGACATTTATGAAACTACAGCGATATGTCAAAACAGTGTTTGCACTTTGCGTTCTTGCCTGTGAGGATTAAGCAAACAAACAAAAATGTCCGTCAAGAACCTAAAGCAGTCCCTGGCCCCTAGGGCCTAGCGATTCTAAACTGTTCATTTCTTCAACAGCATACTGTATGACTTTTAAAATAAAGGCAACTTGGAAGGCACCCTCAACTGCTTCACCTCTACCATCCCAGCCCTCAGCTGGCCTTCTGGCTGCCCTGAAGTCCCCTAACCCTGACCACCTGAGCTTCACGTTGGAAACATCACAGGCTGCCTTAAACCATTTACAGAGTGGCCCTGCCTGATGCCCCAGCTGGATGGAAGCTATTTAAAGGCAGGGGCTGCGCGTGGTGTGCTTTGTATCAACCATATCACTTTTGACATGACACAGGCTCAAAAAATATTTGTTCATAAAGTGGGTGGAAAGAGAAGCCTGAAAAGCAAATATAAAGCATAACAAATTTAATTTTGGTCTCACTGTATGATTGTCTTTAGGCTTCCCCTGAGTCCAACTAGGTTGGGGTTCAGGATCTGTGTCTCATGGTCCTAGTAGGACCTCCTTCATAATATTGACCAGGGCCTTTCTACATAAACAAAATTTTGTGGCTCTATTTGTCCTGCATATAATGCTTAATGTAATGAACTTTCTAGGAACTCCAAACACTAAACCATGGCTTACGAAAGGAAAATACTAAGTCAGTGGGTCACTGGGATATATGTTGTTTGTTTCATAATTCTGCTATTTTCTAGAAAGAAACTTTAAAACACTACCAGCCAGTCATTTATCTTTTTATTTAAATGTCACAAATGAATAAATGGAATGAATACAGAATCATCTGAGTAACAACTGATTTTGGAATAAGATTTGTTATTATTGGGTACACTAGATTTGTCAATTCCTGAATATCCCAAGGGAGTTACTTTTCCTGTGTAGGTCAAGGTAGGGGACAATCTACATTGTAGATGGCAATATAAACCAAAGTTTCAGTTTGATTTCCTCCAATAATTTTCTTCTTAGTAATTAAAAAATTGCCCTTGAGTAGGCAGAGGGGATAGTGTCAGAGTTCCAGGGTGGAGTTTCAGAGTCTCTACTTGGGACCCTGGAGTTGGTGTCATTGAAGTCACAGGCCAGTGAACCCAGCACACATCTTGCTTCACTCCATCCTGCAGCAGGTCCCTTCTGAAGCACTCCACAGGGTCTCCAGTAACGATGGCAGCATCCTTTGTTAGACAGTACACATATACTGCAAGGCATGCGTCTGCTGCCAGCACTGTCCGTAATTGGAAAATGTCACCCTGCACAGGAAAAGCAAGCAAAGAATATCCATATGTTTTGGGTTTTTGAGTGGGTTTTGGGGGGGTTTTTGTTTGTTTTCTTTTTTGTCCCCCCCTTTATGACACAGGCTGGCAAACTTTCTGTAAAGGCCCAGGTAATAAATATTTTAGGCTCTGTTGGTCATACGGCTCCAACCCAGCTACTCAACTCTGCCATTGTAGCATGAAAGCAGCCCCAGACAATAAGTAAACTGCTAAGTATGGCTGAGTTCCAATAAGTCTTTTGTATTTGTAGAAATAGATTTGCATTTCATATAATTTTCATGTGTCACAACCTATTACTCTTCTTTTGCTTTTTTTCCCAATCATTCAAAAATGTAAAAAGCTCATGGCCATTCATGGAAAAACAAGTGGTAGACCCAATTTGGCCCATGGGCTATAGTTTGCCCATATATATAGTTTGAATATTCCGTAAGGATTTTCTGGAAGTTTCCCTCTGCTGTCGAGCAGATGTACTTCCCCATCTGTACCTTAGGACCATCTCAAATGTGCCTGAGCTGATCATCACCTCCCAACAGCAGGGCCTCCCTGGGCTGGCCTGCCTGGCCCACCAGAGCAGAAAGCACACGGTGTGGTCTCTCAGAGGAGAGGTGTGGACAGATCTGTGATGGTGCTTGTTTCCTTCTAGGGACAGAGTGGTCAGCTACACGCTTGGCCGCAGGCTTCCGACAGATCATGTGAGTGGACAGCTGCAGTTCCGCTTCGAGATCACTTCCTCCATCCACCCAGGTATTTTCAGCATGAACTTCCTGTCTTATTCTAGCCTAGTGTCAGAGTGTGGCTCCTTTCTCTAAAACACAATAACAGGGCTGGCCCAGTGCTATAGTGGTTAAGTAGGCACACTCAGCTTCAGGAGCCCAGGGTTTGCAGGTTCATGATCCCGGGGGTGGACCTACACACGGCTCATCAAGCCATGCTGTCGCAGGATCCCACATACAAAACAGAAGAAGATTGGCACAGGTGTTAGCTCAGGGCCAATCTTCCTCACCAAAACAAAACAAAAAAAATACAATAACCATGGTTCTCTCCAGACATGTCCTAGGTTTCGTGGTTCTCTATCTTATCCATTTGAAGCCCAGAAGCCAGTGGTCTGTTCTGGAAACCGGGTTGCTGTCCCCTTGATCGAGAGGCTCCTCTTCATTCTGGTGACCCAAAGGTAGAGAGTTAGATGGTGCAGTGGGCATTGACAGTGAGGCCAACGTAGATATGGAGCCATGTCTAATTTATCATTTTACTCCCAGCACCCAAATAGGAGGCACTTAATAAATGTTTAATTATTGCATACATGAGTGAATGAATGAACGTGAACATGAATGAACATGATACATGTCATATTGTTAAAGATCTATGATTGTACAGTGGCTTTTTACAATATCACAGGGAAAATGAGAACTTTAAATTGGATAGGGGACTTTGGAATCATCCAGTGTTCAGTTTTTCAAGCCAAAACATATTTCCAAATAAGAATGATGAGATGCCTCATAATTCCACTTTTACTCCTCTCCCACAGCCCCCATCCTAAGTGCCGATCACGCTGAGAATCCTTTGGTCCTCTGGGCCACATCTATGAGCTGTTGAAGCGAATGAAGCTTTTGAGAACTCTGAGCCTGGAGCTCATCACTGCCGCTCATTAAACTCCAGTTGCACTTTTCTATATGCCCAGTATTCGCTGCAAATTAGGGGGAAACACCTGTCTTGTCCTTTCAAATTCAGCCTTTTCTACATTCTAAGAATAAAACTGACTCTTCCTTCAGTGCAGCAGTAAGGCCAGTTGCACTAGTGTGTTTGAAATGGGAGGTTCACATCTGACGGGAACCCAACAGAGCAGCTGGGGAAGGGAGAGGTGAACCGTGGTGCTGCTCCTTGAATGGTTGCTTGGTGTGGAGACCACGTTTATTTTGCCACTGTGATGACCTCCAAGTGTCGGAAGCCTTCCAGTTGGAGCTCCTGGGTGACTGCGGTTGCTCCCATCATCTTCTCTAATTGCCCAAGAACCCTACTTTCCCATCCTGCGCCCCCCCCCCCAACCCCGGGAGGCCCAGCCATAGACACACCCTGAGCAAGTATAATTAACCTCGCCTGGGATCAGCGGGGAACTGTAAGCACCCCTCCCCCATCTCTGAAGTGTTCCCTGTAGCACACATTGTTGAGCACCTACTGTGTGCTCAGGACTGGGGTAGCGCTAGCCTGTGAGCATTTTTACCAAAAGATGAATTCCCTTGAAACAACTCAGAAATATATCATGACTGCAAATTGTCATTCACATAACAAGAGCTCGTTCTTACAGAATTTTTTTAGCAGATCGCTGGCCAGGAGACACCCTCATCAACCCCTCCATCCAATACCCTAAGGCAGAAATCCCTTAGGAGACTCCTCGTCCGGCCGAGTGTAATAACCACAGTGCTCTCTTCTGGAAGGAGTGACGTTCTCTTCTTGCCCGCAGATGATGAGGAGATTTCCCTGAGTACCGAACCGGAGTCGGCGGAAATTCAGGACAGCCCAATGAACACCCTGGCGGCGAGCGGCGGCGGGGAGCCTGTGTGCGAGGCGCCGGAGCCCGCGGGGAGCACGAGGCCCGAGCAGCCGAGCGAGGGCGGCGCCGGGGACGCCGCGGGGGACGGGAGCCCCGAGCCTGCCGAGCCGGCCGAGGCAGCGGCAGGTACCGCCGAGGCAGGAGACGACGGCACGGTCTCTGTGGGACCCGATGGGTCTGGGGAGCTTCTGGCCGCGGGGCGAGAGGATGCCGAGCCCGCCCTGAGCGCGGAAGAACTGGCCGAGCGGCTGGACCTGGGTGGGGAGGCGCTGCTCCGGGGGCTGCTGGAGGACGGCGAGGCCCCAGGCAGCGCCGGGGAGCCGGGGGCCGAGGAAGCGGCGACAGAGGGCCGGGCTGGGGGGCTAGAGGAGGAGAAGGAGCAGGAGGAGGAGGGGGACGTGTCTGCCCTGGGGCAGGGGGAGGACAGGCTGCCGCTGCGGGCGTCGGTGAAGAGGAAAAGCAGGCCGTGCTCCCTGCCCGTGTCCGAGCTGGAGACCGTGATCGCGTCGGCCTGCGGCGACCCCGAGACCCCGCGGACACACTACATCCGCATCCACACCCTGCTGCACAGCCTGCCCTCGGCCCAGGGCGGCAGCACCGCGGACGACGACGGCGCGGAGGAGGAGGCCACCCTCAAGGACGCCTCCGAGAAGGATGGGCTCAGCGAGGCGGACGCGGTAGCTGCTGAGCCGCCTCCCCTGGAAGGGGATGGTGAGGACCCCGAGGGGGCCACTCCGGGCACAGCGCTCCCAGGCCACTCGGGCTTGGCCAACGGCCTGGTCCCGGATGGCGACACGCACCCCAGCACGGGGAGCGAGAGCGACTCCAGCCCCCGGCAGGGCGGGGACCACAGCTGCGAGGGCTGTGACACGTCCTGCTGCAGCCCCACCTGCTACAGCTCCTCGTGCTACAGCACGTCCTGCTACAGCAGCTCCTGCTACAGCGCCTCCTGCTACAGCCCCTCCTGCTACAACGGCAGCAGGTTCGCCAGCCACACCCGCTTCTCCTCGGTGGACAGCGCCAAGATCTCCGAGAGCACCGTCTTCTCCTCGCAGGACGACGAGGAGGAGGAGAACAGCGCGTTCGAGTCGGTGCCCGACTCGGTGCAGAGCCCGGAGCTGGACCCCGAGTCGGCCAACGGCGCCGGGCCGTGGCAAGACGAGCTGGCCGCCCCCGGCGGGAGCGTGGCGAGAACCGGGGAAGGTCTGGAGTCCCCCGTGGCGGGACCAAGCAGTCGGAGAGAAGGTTAGACCTCAAACCTGATCAGAGGGAGCATAGGACCACCAGGGGGACACAGGTCTCGCCAACATGGTTTACAAACAGGAGAAAGGATCAGTCCCAGTGGGGTTGCTGCGGCCATGTGTGCCTGTCCTGTACATGTATGTGTGCATGTGTCTATGTGTATGTAAGTATCTGTGACTGTGGCTAGCTGACACGCCACCTCCTCTCAGGTGTACACCAGGAATTGCAACTAGTTGAATGGGAGTGTGCACCTGTATGCGTGCTTCTCTGTTTTAATTAATCCCCAGAACTGGTTAGTGACACGTTACCCTTCTAGTCCTTGCCAGCAACCAGAGCCTCAAGGCTAGTATCAAATGATATAAGCAGGAAACGATCATCAACATTAGGTGCATAATGTGTAAATATCTGCTGACTTCCCAAACTTATTAGCAATAACTGTTAATATAAGTAGAAGAACATTGATTTTTACCTCTGTTTTAGAATTTAACCAGCCCCTGTACATATGGATCTGTATAGCTTACATCTATTTGTCATTATTTGTCTGCTCAATTCTCGTTGTTGTTGGTTTGTTTTCTGTTGGTTTTTGTTGTTGTTGTTTGCTATTTTGACTAATGGAGGGAAGAATAACATGAATGTGTCAATTACTTTGTTTCAAGTAAGATTCGAATCCAAAAGCTGCCACCTTTAGTTTTAAAATGTGCTCTGTATTTTAACCAAAGACGTTCCTTCTTAGTCATGCCTGTGGAATCATATATAAAATTAATTTGCTAATTTGCTTTTCCTTATCCAGAATTGGGAACTATTTTTCAGTCGAGTGACAGTGACATAGGGGGAAATAATTCAAAAGTCACACAATAATATGAAATAATTCAGTTGTCTTAAAAGAGATAAATATAGATTCTGTTATTTTGCTGGTCTACTGTTTAAATCAGCCTTCAAACAAAATGTGGTGGGACTGTCTCTAGATTGTAAGCTCAAGGGCCAGAATCGTCTATTCTTTGTGTTTGAATTCTCAGCACTTAAACAAATGCCTGGCACCTACAAACTTTTACAGGAACTAAAGTAGCACAAAAAAATTAATTTTTAAGTATTCAGCAATGCCCAATTCTACATTTCAGAGAAAACAGGAGTGAGGGGATGAGGCACAGGTAATAAGGAGACACACAAGGAAATTGGTAAAGAAAGAAACACAGGGAGGGAAACCGTAGTGACAATAAAACTTAGTGACATACACTATGGAAGGGCACCCATGAGAGTGAGAATGGGGTGGACAGTTCCCTTCTTTAACAAGGATGTTTTGAGGACCTTCTTTGTTCTGGGCCGGATGCTGTGTGCCGGGCACAGGAAGGTGGATCAGCATCAGATAACATATGAAAGGTACTCACTAATTACAACAGAATTAGAAATTATTCCAGTATACGCAGAGTTGGGGATCCACACACAAAGGGGCACAACTAGGAGCTGGCAGGGATATTTTAGAGCAGAGGATGGCAAAGTTTTTCTGTAAAGGGCCGGATAGTAAATATTTTAGGCTTTGTGGGTCAAGAAGCAAAAGTAGGCAACTATTCTCACCAAAAGGCTATTTTTTCTAACGGTTTTACATTTAAAAGGGTAATAGCCATACTTAACTTGAAGCCATACAAAAACTAGGCTAGATTCGTAGTTTGTCAACCCGTTGTAGCCTATAGGTGTATTTTGACCGCCATGTTGGGAGACAGTCCACACATGTTTAATTGAAAATTGGCTCAGTATGCATTTATATAGAAGCGTGTTTTACCAAAAAAGACACTGTCCATGGGCTTAAGGGATGAACAGTACATCAGGGAGAAGCTGCCCCCTTGAGAAAGGACAGGCAAGTGTTTCAGGGCCATAGTGGAAGTCTTTGCAGGGCAGTTTCTAAAGAAATTTCTAAATTCCTGAATTCCTCAGACCAGAAACTCAGAAAAGGTTAAGCAGCACCTGCGTGCTTCACTGTGGTGGGGACAATGGGAGGTACAAAGATTCCCAAGAGGGCCTGTCGATCTCACGAAGGCCATGCACACGTTGGCATGTGACTTCTTCACAGCCGGTCTTCCGTACCTCTAGAGTGAGTCCAGAGCTAATGGTGGGTGTCAGCATTGTGGATCTGTCCCCCACTCGCCACCAGGCTTCCAAGAGCACATGCTCAAAGAAAGCAAGACTTTGAAACCATATGCACGAGGGCCCTCTTCTGCCCTGAGAATCACTCTTGCGTCCTCACCATGACTTCTAAGATCGCAGATTCTTTCCAAGGTAGATTTGCTGCACACGTGCCCACATAGCTGAGTCTGCCGCAATTTATGGAGGATGTATTCTTTATCTACTTTTTGCTTTTTTTGCTTTTATAAAAACCTCCCTTTTGAACCTCAACATAGAATAGTATTTAAGAACTTTCTGCAGATCGAATGAAAGGAGCAATATAATGCTGTGATTAGGAACTCAGGCTGAAGCCCCCTGGGTTTATACTCAGTCCCACCACTTTCTAGCCATGATGCCTTAGCCAAGTTCCCTGAATGCTCTATGCCTCATGTGTAAAATGGGTGGAAATATAGACTCTACCTCAAAGGGTTATTGGAAGGATTAAATGAGATGCTACATATAGAGCACTCAGCCTCTCACGGAGTGAGGCTTCTTCCAGGCAGATAAGCAGTGAGGCTCACTTTGAAAGTGGAATATATTTCCTTCTCAGAAGTTCTAGCAGCTCTGAACACTTGCTTTGTGTTTGAGGCAAGGGTGATTGCGTGGAGCCGCGTCCTCGTGCTGAACAGAACTGCTTGCTGCTTCTGTGCGCTCCATCCATTCGGTTGGCTGAGATGCTTCGGTCCCATCATTGCCTTTGCTTGGGGTTCACCAGCAGGGGGGCTCAGCTCCATTAACCCCCGCAAGCAACAGTATTGTCTCCACTAGCTTGCAGGAGTATTTAACCTGATTGGTTGAATTAATTACAACAAGGTAAGTTTGTTGTTTTTTTTCAAGACGCTAAATTTAAAACACAACAGCTGGTGACATAACAACTATACCATTGTTTTTTAGTTTCTGCCACTAAACACTGACAAACATGAGTGTGGTGTCCACTAAGCATGGAGGCCATCTTTGAAACAAGAGTCGGTTTGCAAGGAGATATGTATGCTACCTTGACTTCAAGTCTCAGAGGACCCCAAGGATTTGAGGAACATACCAGAGTTTGCAGGAGAAATAGTGTTGTCTATTTAACATTCAGAAAGACCCTTTGTTCCTAAATACATCTCTCTTTTTGTTTTCCTAGTTAGCTCTAGGAATTAAACTGTTAAATTAAACCTACCTAGCTTCCTTCCTGATTCATTAATTTTTTTTTTAATCAGTTCTATGGCTGTAGAGTGAGAAGAAATAATCATTCTTTCCATGTATGGACATTTGGAGAAATATTTGAAATTTGAGGTCCTACAAAGATCTTAACCACTGTTTTTCACAGTTTCTCTCCTTTTTGACCCAAGGGATAATGGAACACTTGCAATTTGCGTCAGCCATGGAGGGCAGAGGAAGGAGAAGCCCTGAGCTTTGTCCTCTAGCCAAGGATCGTGTGAGGCAGGGGACACCAGTCTGAATGAGGGCTGTCTCGTGGCCTGGGCCCGTCTAGCTGTCAAAGATCAAGAGCAATTGCCTCTGATTATGTGACCCAAACAGCTGGTGCTGTAGGCCTCCCGTCCACATGGCCACTCTACACACGGTGTTACCAGGACCTGAGGACATTGTGAAATAGGAACACCGTTTTATAACATTGTTCAGTTCATTATAAGTCTGACTGACAATGTTGTTAGCTATGTCTGCAATAATCAAGGCATGCGTCCTGTGGATATGTTTATTTCCAAAATTTCTCCATGTTCGTCTTTCTTCTTCCTTCTATCCCACTTCTGTGTTTCTTTCTAGTTTTTCTGTCTCCGTCTTCTTGCTTCTGATCTACTTTCTTCGTCTCTTGTCATTTTCTCTTTCCAGAGCACCCTGGCTTGTCTGATTCTTCCTCAAAATAGTCTGAAACAATCACAAGATCCCACTGCTCCTTGGCTCCCCACCCAGCCCCTAGCTTCCATACTATAGGAATTTACCTTCTTGGCCCACCAGTTCCTTAACCCCATCTTGAAAAGTCACCATCTAAGCGTTTCATTCCAAAACCAAAATCTGAAAAATGGCTTATTGGCAGCCCTCTGATGAAACCTATTCAAACAAGGAGCTGTAATTTTGCACAGGCCTGCTGAGCTTTTGTGGGACCTTATAAATGCTGTACTTCCCTCAGACAGGACCGTTTCTTTTGCTAGCCTAAAGTCCAGCTCTGCCAATTTTCTTTTGGGTCCCTTTGTGATGCCACCTTCCCATCTAGATAATTCAGGTGGTGACAGAATCAGATCCTGATCCTACATATTGGTCTGTGTGGTACAGATCACAGTCATGAGGTGTTTGGCTATTTTCTTCAGGAGTTTTTGAAAATAATTCCCTCTATTCCCTCTCTCATGAATGACTGTGGATGTAGCAAACTGACACAAAAAATAGACTGCCCACTCTTTGGGGTTTTTTCATGTAGTAGCTTGTTCTACAGTCATGCTTTTTTGATGACGTTGCCACAGCAATGAATGAATCTGAATGTCTTGACTATCTTGTCCATAGGTGAATGTCCTATACTCCATAATTCCCAGCCAGTAAGCCAGCTTCCTTCCTTGAGGCCTGAACATCATCACTACCCAACAATCGATGAGCCTCTTCCACCAAGTAAGCTTTAGTTTTTAAAATCTATGTCTTAACTCTTCCTATCAAGTCTAAACAGGTCAGTATGAACTTGTATGTAAATATCCAAACTCTTCCCCAACTCCATACCTTACACGGTTATCAAAAACCAATATGGCACCTACTATAGAAACTGTTTGGGTTTTTTTGACTAATGGTTTTGGCATGTGATCTTGAAGAGATAACTCAGTATTTTCAGGGTCTCTCAACTTATCAAATAGAGAGCATTTCTTTACAAGATTTGGCTAGTCCTTGCAAACTGTACAGGACCCTGAAATCCCAAATTTTACTATTTTATATTTAAAAGTTTACAGTTCAAGATGGAATAATCCTGTTGTTCTCCATGGACGCTGTTATGTCACGAGCATCTCCATGTAAAAAAAAAACATTTCAACCCATCAGGACCCACGAACTTGCATTTTCCTTACTATAACTTGCATCAATAGGTGACAGCCTCAGATTTCTTCTGCAGTTCTGTCATTAGGGATAGAATTCAGTATCATTTTCTCCTAGTAACTGGAGTGTAATTAATTATCTAACTAATCATTTGAACTTGAGAAAATCATTAAATATCTCAGAAACTCAGTTTTCTCATTTATAAAATAAAGCTTTAATTTCCTCATCTGCTAACTGCTGGATTTGGAGCAGGAAATCTCTAGATACTCCAGCTTTAACCTTATAATACTCCATTATAATAAATCTATAAAAAGGAACTGACACCCCAGACATTGTACATTCACTTAGCATCACATGTGTTCATGAAATCTAAAACATCTCTGTTTCGGTTTAGGCTTGTTTTTTAAGCAAAGATAACCTTTAAGATGTGATAAATTTTATAACTGGAAATCTTTCCCGGATGCAAGGAATCAATGTTTCTTTACGTTCTTTTGCCTGTGCTTAAATTAAGCACAGTTACAGTTCTCCAAAGGAGAAATGCTTATTCCTTAATTCACCTGTTCTTGGTAATGTGATATGTTTTACATTTACACTGTTCTGTTCAATTGTAATTTATCAGTGAGAAGAGAATGAGTATCTTTCATATGTAGACTAATGTAAAGGAACACAGTATTTGTTTTAGGGGCCAGGCCAAACGTTATGTCCTTTAACTTTTGATGGCTGATTTCTTTCTTTATCCATTGATTTGTGGATACTCCATAAATGAATAGCAAAATTTCAGTGTCACTATAGATACTTCCTGCTTAGCACTTATCTGAAAAACATCTATGACATTCTCTCCAGAAAAGGAACACTTTCCTTACAACAAATAACCTCTCAGTGTGTGTGCATGAAGTGACCTCCAATCCATGCCAGAGGAATAACTAGTTACACGTACAGTTATTTTATATAATTGAATGTAAGTCCATTTTAAAGAATACATTGTATAGGCTGCTTGCAATAATGAAAACGAATTTCTCCAGATAGGTTTCGATTTTCTGTCCATGCAACCCTGAAAAAAATATTAGAAAAGTTGGTAGTTAAGCCTAACAACTGAGTTTTCTTAGATAATCTTAAATAGTACATGGATGACTTCATCACCGATAGGCCTTCGTTTGACAGATATTTATTGAATGCTTCCTCTGTGCGAGGTTCTGTTTTAGGTAAGCAAAACAAAGACCCCTGCCCTCATGGACCTTCTAGTCTAGTCTGGCAGAGACAGACAATAAACAAAGAAAAGAATGAAGGAGGAAATAGTGGAGCACATTGGATGGTGATAAGTACTATGGAAAGACCAAAGCAGAGCAAGGAAGGGCATCTGGAACGCGTGGTGGTGGCTGGTTTGGAATTTTAAATAGGGTGGTCGTCACCGAGAAGGGAACATTTAAAGCTAGACTTAGAGGCAGTAAGGGAGTTGTCCACGCAAGTGTTGGGGAGGAAGAGCTTTCTCAGCAAGGAGAGGGGCCTGCCTGGTGGGTCCTAGGATCAGCGAGGGCACCAGTGTGTCGGGAGCAGACTTAGGAAGGGAGGAGCAGCAGGGGATGAGGTCAGGGAGATATCAGGGATGCAGGTCACATAGGGCCTTTGGCTTTTACTCTGCATAAAGGGGGACATTGTAGGTTTTTGAGCAGAGAAGTGATGTTGTCTGACTTAGGTTTTAAAAGGATTCTGTGGTTGCTTTGTTGACACTCAGTTGTGAGGAGGAATGGTAGAAGCATGAGACCCAACGGAAGTTATTGCAGTGACCCAGGAGAGGAGCCATGGTGGCCTGGGCCAGGGTGGGAGCAGTGCAGATGGTGAGGAGTGGTCGGTCAGATTCTGCAAATATATTTGGTAGGTAGATTTGCTGACAGATTGGATGTGATGTGTCAGAGAAAAATAGGAGTCAAGAATGATCTCAAGAATTTTAACCTAGAAGGACAGAGTTGCCTTCAACTGAGAGGGGAAGGGAAATCTGCAGATCAAGCAGATTTGGACGGGAAAGATTGGAAGCTTGATTTTGATCCTGTTATATTTGAGATGTCATCCACGTGGTGATGTCAAGAAGGCAACTGGATGCATCAGTAAAGTTCAAGAGAAAAGCCTAGACTACAAAGATGGTATTACGTTTGTTAAAGGGGAAAAAAAGTACAATTCTGTAGGCTTTTGTTAGTATGATAACTAAAGATGACACATTCTTGGAGTCTGCATTGTTGTTAGACTTCATGGAAAATACATAATTCAGTATTTGATAGGTCCTTCAGTCACAAATGAATTGGCACCAATGAATTACTCTAACTTGCCCCAGCATTGTAAAGGTATGGTTTTCAGGCGTCTGTTTGGGTATCATGGTGCCAAGTCCATCGGGACATGCTGAGGCCTGAAGTTCTATTTGGAAATTTTTTCTTTATACAATATGTGAAAGTAGATTCTTTACAAAGCAACCCAGAAAGCAGCCTTATTACCTTGAATTACACTTAGCTATTATTTCCCGAATATTTATGAATATATAATTACCACTATGCATTACAGATATTTAATATATTGACAAAAGGGCCTGTCTGTCTTGCCATCCTTTTCCATGAGTGATTTGGAAATACTAAAACTTGTAGAAAGAAGTTATTATCATCGCTGCGCTATTCTCCAGTTTTTTTCCTTAGAGAATTTATGAGACTGGAGCTTTGTCTTTGAAGGAATCGTTCCTTTACTGGGGGCGCCTGAGGGCAGGACTGTGTGTGGCTCGTGGTGTGCCCTCAGGACCTGGCCTAGTTTCTAGTTCATGGTGAGCACCAAGAGGAGTTTGTTCAATCGAATCGAATAGCATGATAGTCTTCAAAGATTCGTGCTCATTCTTTGTTGGATGACAGTCGTCTTGGGTTCCAGAAAAAAACTGTCCAATTGCTACTAGTTTGGGAATCACTGAAATTTCAAAATTCTTGGATCAAGATTAATTACCTAGTATTTACACATATACACAATTTCATCATTGAGCTAATGAACATTGACAACTAAGAATTGATGACTGGATTATGTGGTGGTCAATTTTAGTCAAAACATCCTAGAATATGTTTATATGATCTGACTACATTTTTTCTTCAGATTGTCTTAGCTAAATTTGGTGGTTTCTGGTATTTCGGTTTTCATTAGGCATTATTCGGCAATTCTTCAGGTAGATGTCAGACATAAGCCATAATGTTCACAAACAGATATACGGTGCACACATAAAACCATAAATATACCAAATATATCGTTTTTCACTTAAAAATTGAGAGTTGCTATGTCATTACCTGAATGATAATTTTTCAATAGAATTGTTAATATCTGACCTACTCCCAAAAGCTATGGCTTTTCTCACTTCAAAGGCTGAATGGTTTCCCTGTGTTTGCAATCATTTTTGCATTTTCTTCTTTAATCTAACACATTTTGCAGCATAACTTTATCATGAAGCTGTTATTTCCACCACATTTTTGCCTGTGGGCTCTAAAAGCTTTGCCCATTTCTGTACGGCAGACATTGCTCTTCCATGTTAAGCTCAGATATTACTTCCAGCTCTCTCGGTTTGGAGGACTTTTTCATGCACCCCACCCCACGCCAGCCCCTACATATGTTATGTAATGTATCATCTATGCTTCCACCTTTGAGTTTGTTGTTTTTTAAATTTGAGAAGTAAAGGAACTTTATCTTTATCTTGGGCTCCCTCTACTGTTTGGGATGATTATCAACAAAGAGCTATTGAAAAGCTTGATGTTTGTTGATAGTTGTTATTGATTTGGTTTTGTTTCGGTCAAGAGATATCTGGCAGCCACAGGTGGGTTGAATAAACACTGTGAATTTACGACTTATCAAAAGGATGATTTGAAACCCAAATCCTTCCATTTTCCCTCTCAAGAGGAATGGCAATCGATTAACTTTGCCAAGTATCAGATAGAGATCATCTAAAGTTGCGTGTACAGTACTTTAGAACTGTAGTTAAAACTAGTTTTAATACGGGGGCCATTATTCCCTCCCCAGACTCGTCGCCCTCTATCAGATTTGGCAAAGAAAGGATCCTGCAGCATCCCAGTGTCAGCTCTCACCGGAGGACATTTCCAATCTTCTAGCTGTCATTTGAGTGGCCAAGAAGATTGACAGGATGGAAATTTTTAAAGGAAGAAATAAACTAAACATTAGACTCTCTTTAGAAATTATTAGAATTTTAATGTAGGTCATATATGAGGAACCCTAGTTACTGTTTAAAATGGCCCAGCAGAGAATCTGAATCCAGTAGGCTCTTTTCTGGAATGCTGGTTCCATGCCAATGCCCCAGAAGTCATGGCAGGTGCTGGGGGCAGTGTCTGGCCTTCAGCAAGTAACCAATGGTGAGTTCTGCCTGCAGAAGACCTGGAAGTAGCGTCTGTTTCACAGGGGTCAGTAGTTTGTCCTTGATTTTTCTTTTTGCCTTTTTATTCCACACTAGACTGGGAAGCTCGCATTGACAGCCACGGGCGGGTCTTTTATGTGGACCACGTGAACCGCACGACCACCTGGCAGCGTCCAACCGCAGCAGCCACACCCGACGGGATGCGGAGATCAGGGTCCATTCAGCAGATGGAGCAACTCAACAGGCGGTTGGTGATCAGCATGCAATGAGCTCCTAGAAACCACAGAGAAAGGAGAATGGCAGCTAAAGAAACTCTCTCTGACGCTTTCCTGCTCAGATGGTGTCAGGAGGCTGAAAAGTAATTAAGTATCTTAAGAAACCAGTTCAGAGTAGGTATTTGGAAAGCTAGATTTAGAATTTGGCGGCAGGGAACAAGCTAAGCCTGAGTGTCATTTAAAGATGGGAAATCCTCTGAACTTCTTGATGGCTTGGGCTCAAAAACAAGTGTTCTTAACCAAGGGCCCATGGGTCACCCAGGTGTTCACTGAGGACCTCCGTGTTCCATGAACCCTCCAGAAATTGTATGCAAAATTATACATGGATACACATTTTTCTGCCAGACTGGTCCATATTCATCATAAGATTCTCAAAACAGTCCAGAACTCAAACAGTTGAAAGCATTCTGAGGATAACTTCCATAGAATGCCAAAAGCTACCCTGGGAAAAACTCTCATAAGTCACTGTTTTCATGTCTACCCTGGTCCCGTAATTGCCATATACTCAGAAATACTAATTCTTAAAAATCCTTCCTCTTAGAAATGTTTAAAAAATTTTTTTGAGAATTGTTTTGTCTAAAAACCAGACCCTTACTTGTGAACTTGTAAGGATGTCAGTTTGTTCTTAACCTGCAAACGAAACCCTAAATAGCATCTCTCCCGTGCTGTGAGAAAGTGTGAGCATCGTATCTGACATCTGGCTTCTTTAAGACCAGCATGGCGGCTTTGGGATACTTTGAGTAGCCAGGAATGCAAGCTACAGGCTCAGCTTCAGTTAGCGTGTTAGTACAAAGCTAAAAGAGAGGTTGGGAGGGCCTAAAAAGGATAAGAACTGGGTTTGGGGGACACACCTATTGATAGCAAATGTCCTTTGAAAGTTAACTGTATTAGCCAGAAAAAAACAAAGTGGAAAATTTAGTCCTATTAAAAGTTCATAGAGGGGCTAGCCCATGGCCAAGTGGTTGGGTTCGCGCACTCCACTTTGACGGCCCAGGGTTTCGCCAGTTCAGATCCTGGGCACAGACATGGCACCGCTCACTGGGCCATGCTGAGGCGGCGTCCCACATAGAAGAACTAGAATAACCTGCAACTAGGTTATACAACTATGTACTGGGGGGCTTTGGGGAAAAGAAGAAAAAAATATTCATAGAGACCAAAAATTGAACTTCCAGTGACTGTTGTACACAGAGGTGCATGCTTTAGGTGCAAATCACTGGGACTCTTTTATTGCTTGAGCATTTGGAGTTTATTTGCTTTCCATTTTTCCCTGTCACTAGCCATAAAGGATTTTCATTGGCAGCATATTTCTCCACTATGATTCCTGTAGAAGGAAAGCATATTACAAGGAACAACTTGTGATAATTCAGTTTTATTAGATATGAAAGCACCAAAAATCCCTGAGAGAGTCCTTTCATGGTGAGTGCGCCAAAACTCCGATAATAAAAATGGAGCGGGGCCAGCCAGGTGGCGCAGCGGTTAAATTTGCATGTTCCACTTCTGTGGCCTGGGGTTCGCTGATTCGGATCCCAGGTGCGGACATGGCACCGCTTGGCAAGCCATGCTGTGCCGGGTGTCCCACATATAAAAAGTAGAGGAAGATGGGCACTCAGGGTCTTCCTCAGCAAAACGAGGGGTGATGGCAGATGTTAGCTCAGGGCCAGTCTTCCTCAGCAAAACGAGGAGGATTGATGGCAGATGTTAGCTCAGGGCTAATCTTCCTCAAAAACAAAAAAATGGAGAGAGCACAGCAAGCTCATCTTACATAGAGACAGAGTTGAGATTCCACAGGCAAAAGAGCTTCTAAGTCTGTCTTGCCAGAATGGATAAGCTGAAGTTGTTTCACAGACTAAGACATAGGGAGAGCATCATGAGGCTGTGTCTGTGAGAAGCGATGTTTGGACACTAAAACAGAACAGTCAGTCGGAAGCAGAAGTAAGCACCTTGACCTATGACATGAAAATCCATGAAAGTTCATGGTGTTCAGGTTGTATAATATAAAAATTATACAACTGCATCCTGAAGCAGGCCTCCAAGAGAAGTTTTGCAAGCTTGGATCTGTAAATTCCCGTGGCCTCCAGTGGAGCTGAACTCACTGGGAGAGGCAGCTGGGGTTTGCTGAATAGGAAGCTGTGTTTGCTGCATCCATCTGGACAGATAAAAAGAAAAGAAATTCAGTGATTTGAGAAAGTGCTTATTTCTCATGAGAAAACCTACCTAGGGAAGGTCAGATAACCGTGAGATAAGCATCCAGGCTCCTCAGGACTTATTTTAACCATTGCTTCCAAGTAGTTAACGTTTTTCAGTGATTTGGCATGATAACAGCAGCCACGAAAGCCAGTCTTTTATCCATCTCACATGTGATCACACACAGGGCTCGTTTTTTGATAACCTGCAGCTGTTGGGAGAAATTTACAAGGATCACTGTCCCACAGCAAAACGGAAATATTTCTCAGTGTTGCAGGGAGTTTCCTTTCACTCCTGACAGGCTGAAAATCAAACGTGCTCGTGCAAGGAGACGCCCACTGAGAAATGCAAAGTGCACAAAAGCAATGCATGGTGACCGCATTCAAACTCGGCCACCTCCCACGCACAGCACACTTGTCTTGGCCTTTATGGTTCTGCCACATGTTCCCACCGCAGGGAAGTCCTTCATGCCTGCCTTCCACCTGGTACACTTCTCATCCTGCAAAGGCCCAATGCAGGTGCATGTGCCCCCTGAAACCTTCCAGAACCCTCCACAATGAGCCACACTGCCTCCTCTACAACCCATGAGTGGTCTAGTGCCTGACTCTGGAACAGTCCTTCCCTTTCTACCTTATTCTTCTGTGTACGCCTCCCAGTGCCTGGTATGGGGCCAGATTTAACAGGACTCAGTGCAAGACTGTTTCCCATGTTAATTTCTACACTTTCAGGATATCCTGAATTAACTAACTCTACTTTCACAAATATTTATTGAGCAAGCAGAAAATATAAATATGTATTCTCATTTTAAACAATCAATTAAAATTTGATCTTTTAGTTATTTGGATAAAGCTATTATAATATTAAGAGAAATGGAAGTTTTAAATAGGAAAAAAATGATCGATAGTCCTACTACCCCAAGGTTTAGCTTTTTAAAAAATTTATCTATCTTTGATTTTCATAGACCTGCACAGTCCTTACATAGTTACGATAATATATAGTTTTATATTCATTTTTCACTTACTACCCTGTAAGCATTTTCATATCGCTACATCATCTTAAGATGATCCTTTAGATGGTTGTATACTACTCCTTTGAATGGATATAATTTAGTAACTTAATTTGCCCTTAGGTTGGATGTTTTGCTTATTGCTTTGTATCACCATTTTTGAGAAGGCCCAAGGGCCTGTTCAATATGAAGATTGTGTTACAGAGGGTGTTTCCTTAGGGCCGGATTCCCAGAAGGACAGGCCAAGGGCAGTCACTGTGGTTTTGGTATTTGCTATCAATGCGTAAATGTGTTCTAAAATGATTCTGGGGGTTCGCTGTGCCAACAACAACAGCATCACTTCCGTCGCATCTTCTGGTTGGTTTCTGCTGACTGAGTTGGTGCTCCTGCTGTTTTGGGGCGTCTTACATCGCTCTTCTTGGACGGAAGGTCAACTTTTGCTTCCAGGAGCTTCTCTTTTACCAATCGCAGCTCCTCCCACGAGACTCGTCTCTTCTTGGACCTTGTTTGTTTGCTTTGGTTTGGTTCGGCTTGGTTTTCAAAGGTTTCATTTTTCTTTTTTGGCTTTGTGTGTGTGTGTGTGTGTGTGTGTGTGTGTGTGTCCATTTACAGGTTAGATTTTCCGGCAGACCTTCTTACCAATTTCCATAAACTCTTTACATAATATAAATATTTAACCTTTTGCTGCAAAAAAAAAAAAATAAATAAAACCTCGTGAGGGAGGAGATTGAAGGACAATTCTTGATGAAATAGAAGGGAGCCAGCGTTTGACCCCTGTCTCATCTTTAAAGCAGAGTGAGCCCATGAGGCTGCAGTCTTGCCCTCACTGGGTGATCCCTCCAAAATCACTGTGTGTCCCGCTTCTTTGAAACTGCGCCTGCACTTCAGTGAAGATCAGGGTGGGCCCTGACACCTGGGATGGGAGACTGTTAACTCAGTTGGGTGTGAGATAACCAAGGTCCAGCTGAGGACATGTGAGGTTGTGACACTGCTGGCATCTTCATCATCCAATAAGATCGCATTTACTCTTAAAATCTCTTCTGTGGTCACTGCACTTTGGGAGGAAAAGAGAGGCTACAATCTGACCTTCCTCTAAGCCCTGTTCTTAGAAGGTACTTATTGCTGGAACAAACCACCCCAAACTTAGTGGCATAAAATCAATAATAATTTTTATTATCATTATTATTACTATCATCATTTCTCATGGTTCTGGGTTGACTAGGTCCAGCAAGGCAGTTCTCTCTCAGGGTATCTTGTGGTTATGTAGGGTGGACACTCATATCTGGAGGTTGATGCTGGCCATTGGTTAGGTCTCTGCTGTGACTGTCAGCCAGAATGCATACACGTGGACTTTCCATGTGGCCTGGGCTTCTTCACAGCACGGCCACTGTGTTCCATCCCAAACTGTCACTTCCATTATCCTCCCTTCGTCAAGGTAGCCACAAGACCTTCTCCAATTCAAGGGGAGGGGATGTTGATTCTGCCTCTTAATAGAGTAGTAAGGTTCTGAAAGAGCATGTGGGACTAAAAATATTGTGGAGCCTTTTTTGGAAAATGCAGCCTGCCGTGAGCCGTTTAGGGAAACCTCCTGACAGCAGCTTCCTTGGTCTTTGGCAAACCCAGTCCCCCCCACCCCACGGTCAAGGTGACACACTTAGGCAGCTTCTCACTGGCCTGCTCTGTGCCTCCCACCATGGCAGCCTGCCCTGAGTTCCCGCAGGGAGAACATAATAGACAGCTATCCTTCCTCTTCCTCACAGCCTCCCTCCCACAGACCTGCGAGGTCATCAATAAACACACGTGTTTCGGTCTGTAATTCTCTGCTCATCCCTGTCCGCTTCCACGTTTTCTCAGGAATGCCTCGCGGTAACTGCCGCGGGCACAGGGGTCTTCTGCAAGGTGTCAGCAGTGAGTGGTTGAGTCTTTCTAGATAAAGTAATACATAAAGAAAGCCCCAGGCCAGTGATTCTTAAACCAAGCTGCAGTTAATACTACGGGAACTTGTTAGAAATGCACGTTTCAATTTTGCTTCAATTTCTGTAATTCTAACAGTCACCCAGATGATTCTCTTACAACCTAGAGACCACACTTGGGAAAAAATTCCTCTTTAAGGTCAAGGAAAGAGATACGGGTCTTCAGAAACCCTGCCGCAGCAGACCTGGCCTGTGTAATGGTGCATGCCGCGGGGCCCCCATCTCGGGTTGCACTTGGAGCCCCAGTTGTCACTGCTGCCTGGACTCTTGCCTTCCTCCTTCTCTTTACACCCGTTCTTCCACGCTCACATCTCTCTCCTGAGCACAAGACCCATCCAGCAGTGTTCCCGGGCTGTCACTTGCATGATCTTAAGGACTTCCGAGTCAGCATGTCCAAATCCACACCCAAATCTTCCCTCCCCACCTGTCTGTCCTCCCGTGTGCTCATTGTCAGTGTTGGCGCTTCCACCTGCCTGGTCTAGGCAGACGCCATGAATTCACAGTTGTATCCTCCCCCTTGTTAACCTCCATACCCAGTCCGGCCCCAAATCCTGTTGAGTCTACGTGTAAAATTATTACAAATCCTGGGGCCATCCCCGTGGCCGAGTGGTTAAGTTTATGCGCTCCGCTTCAGCAGCCCAGGATTTCACCGGTTCGGATCCTGGGTGCAGACATGGCAGCGCTCATCAGGCCATGCTGAGGTGGCATCCCACATGCCACAACTAGAAGGACCCACAGCTAAAAATGTACAACTATGTACCAGGGGGCTTTGGGGAGAAAAAGGAAAAATAAAATCTTTAAAAAAAAATTATTACAAATTCTGCCACCAGATATCTCTTGCATTCGGCCCATTCTTCCATTCCTGCTGTGCCTTGAGGAAAAGGGAAGCTGAATTCTTATCAAGTTGCCTGGATAGGCGGAGAGACATTAGGCACAACAGAGGTCAGAGGAGGGGTAAGAGGGTGACTACCAGGAGTGAAGGAAGAACAGAGCAAAGAGGAACAAGACAGCTGAATATCTGCCTACAAAAATACAGTGTGAATTGGACAGAGCAGCCTCTCAAGGGCATGGAGATTTAAATTTCTGTGAGTATTTTGCTGGCAGATATAGGTGATCTTAGTGTCCCTCCAGTATGTGGGCACCCTCCCTGCAAGCAGCAGGATCCACCACCCCTGCCTGGGTCCAGGCCGTTAGCATCTCCAGCCTGGACTGTTGCAGTAGTTCCTAGCTGCTGTCCCCAGCTCCAGGCTCTTCTCCTCCAGTGCATCCTCCACACAGGTGGGGGTCATCATTCTCAGTATCTAGCTGGCCCTGTCTCTCTGTTTCAGCGGATACCCAACCCCTACAGGCGTGGTTCTCAAAGTCGGTCCGTGGACCAGCAGCATCACCTGGGAATTAGTTAGAAATGCAAATTCTTGCCTCCTGCCCACCCCAGACCTACTTAATCAGAGATTCTGGGGGCAGGGCTGGGAAGGCTGTGTTTTAACAAGCCCTGCGGGTGATTCTGATGCAGCCCAAGGAGGAGAACCTGTGCCTAGAGAATAACATCCAAACTGCTGCGGGGACGTCCTGCCAGGTGCCCCCCGCCTCCCTCTCTCTGCTCTCCTAGCACCGCCCGAGTCCTGATGCCACCACCAAGCTTCTCAGAGTTCTCCAAGGGTGAACTCTTCTGCGCATGTGATCTTCTCTGTTGTGGCCCTACACGCTCCCCAACCAGTTCGCACTCTGACTTCAAAATGCATACACCGTAGGTGTCTCCTGGTCTATTCACGCGCCTCTTTACACATCCGGGACGCATCGCTAGTGTTCCGGTTTACGTGCCATTCCCCTCTTTGTTCCGTCTTGACTGCGTGTGTTCACAGGGCGAGATCATATTCGAGGCTTCTCTTTCATCTGGAAGTCTGACACAGAGCCTGGGCATGTTGGAAGAGTCAGTAAATATTTCATAAGTACCTGGCGAGGTGACCGACTGGCTAATCAACTGAGTAAATCCCCAATTTGGGAAGAAAACTAAAATGAACCTTCAAATAAGCAGAAGACGTTTATTTGTCTGTCAGCATGCTTCTAGTGTGTAATATTTCCACAACGCCTGTCAGTCATATCAGTTACCTGTCAAATAAAAATAAATGAGTAGAACTATTATTCTAGTTTGTAGACATTACAATGATGTGGAGGTGATTTGATATTTTCATTCTAATGTTTTCAGTTACTTCCCCCACACAGTTATTCTAGACTTAGCCTGATTTTGTTTCATGCAGGGCAGAGGCTGTATTTTGTGACTAGTTATTATTTGTGTTGATTTTTTTAAAGTTACCGTACTTGAAACTCATCATAGCTCGCAAAACAAAAAAAAAGTCAGATCATCCAGAGATACTTGTCTTGCTAAGTGTTTGGGTATCTTGTGGGAATTTAAGCATTTCTTTCCTGACATTCAAGACAATTCTTTACAGACTTCCCCAGTTATCTGATTCAGAGCATCAGCCCCCCACAAGACAACAAACAAAAGTTAACTCCTGTCTTTCCGTTTTCCGACGCAAAGGTATCAAAATATTCAGCGAACCATTGCAACAGAGAGGCCTGAAGAAGATTCTGGCAGCCAGAGTTGTGAGCAAGTCCCAGCTGGAGGCAGCGGAGGAGGTGGCGGGAGTGACTCAGAGGCCGAAACTTCTCAGTCGAGCTTAGGTATGGGAGGAGGGGTCCCCAGACTCCTGGGATGGCATCCAGTGGCAGTGTGACAGCGCATACCAGCATCTCGCCCTACCTCGTGGGGTGGCACCACGCCCTGGGGTATGGGTAGCAGTGGAATGGACAAGGTCGGGGCGGAGGAGAAAGAGCTGGTGCCAGGAGGGTAAACACAAGTTTCCCACAGGGAACATAGAGAAGTGGATTCACAGTGAAGAGAACTTGTACATCAAGGCAATTTTTTCAGTGGCTTAATCATTTCTTAAGTGAATTGATTTGTTGGTGTCCTAAGGATTTTCCACTTATAAATAAAACATGCAATAAAAATTTACTGTCTAGGGGCCGGCACAGTGGCTTAGTGGTTAAGTTCAGCCTTTTCCACTTCATAGGCCTGGGGTTCATGGGTTGGGATCCTGGGTACGGACCTACACACCACTCATCAAGCCATGCTGTGGCGGCATCCCACATACAAAATAGGGGAAAATTGGCACAGATATTAGCTCAGGCACAATCTTCCTCAAGCAGAAAGAGGAGGGTTGGCAACAGATGTTAGTTCAGGACCTATCTTCCACGCCAAAAAAAATTTACAGTCTACCTCAAAGGAGCCATGTAATAACATGAGGAATAATTACTCGTTTGCATTTAGAATAAAATCGGTTCCCCCAGAGGGAGGAACCTGGGAGTAAAGAGATTTTGCAGTGGGTTTATGGTCATGTATGCCACCCTAGAGCATTTTTCCCAAATCCCCTAGGCATCCACTAGGGGCCTGGTTTTCATTTCTTTGGATCTGCCTGTGTGGAACTCAGATGAGAATGCTCAAAAGACACTGAGACTGGCTCCTGCTTTTTATACCTGTAATAACATAAAATTATCACAGTGACATCCTAATAAACCACTTTTTTTTAAATTGGGTTAAATGATGGCAGAGTGAAGTCTCGGAGACGAGTCTGAGCCAGCAGCGTGTGCCTCCAGTCCTGCCGGGCCTCTGCGGTCCACAGCAATGCAGACAAGTGACATTTTCAAGCACTCTCTTAGATTCACATACACAGTTCCACCAACAATTTTAATTGCCTCTGTTCTATTCATTTTACCAGGTATACTAACTAAACTGACTAGTTTAGCTTTTTCTGTTATTAATTTCTTTGTTTGACCTCTGAGAGAGTTATGGTAAAGTGGTCATTAGAAACATGAGGAAAAAAGGAAGAGAAAATTTATTTCTGGGTTCAGTATTGGATCCGTTGGCCTTTGCTATGTGATAAACCATCCCCAAGTTCAGTAGCTTTAAATCACAGCCATGCATTTATCCCACGGTCCTGCAGGTGGGCAGTCTGAGCACAGCTCCACTGGGTGACTCCTCAGGACGCCAGTGGGCTCACACGTGTGTCTCTGGTCAACTGTGGAATCAGCCCAGGCCCGGTGGGCCTGAGATGGCCTCAGCTGGAGTGGCTTGTCCCTGCTCCCCATGGCTTCTCGTCTTGTACCAGGCTAGCCCAAGCTTGTTCTCACAGTGAGAGAGAGAGGGAGTGGGGACACACAGGCCTCTCAGAACCTTGGCTGAGAACCCGCACATTGTCACCTCTGCCAGATTCTGTTGGTTGAAGCAAGGCATGAGGCTAGGGCAATTCAACAAGAGGAGAAGCCGCGAAGTCCCATGCAGCTGCGTGTGGCTGTGGGGAGGGGAAGAATTATGGCCCTTTCTGCAAACAATCTTTCATGGCTGTGGTTGGCAACTTGTAAAGAAAATAAGAAAAAAGTCGTTGGGATAAACGGGAGGTGTTCAAGGACCTGAGCCTAACTGAAGTTCTGTGATAACATTCCTGGGAAAGAATGATTCTTGACTGACAGCCCAAAGTGATGTGACATCTGCTCGTATCCCTATGATACCAGGTTGGATGACTGTGACACCTGGTCATAGCACTGTTAAAAACAGCAGTCCCCTCCAACCGTGTAGGCGAAGGCTTGTGTGCTGCTGATGCAGAGAGAGGCACTGTGTTTGGAATGCCTTTTCCCAATGCGCTCTGTTGCTCTGCTTCACTTGTTTCAGATCTGAGGAGAGAAGGCTCGCTCTCTCCAGTGAACTCACAGAAGATCACCTTGCTGCTACAGTCGCCAGCAGTCAAGTTCATCACCAACCCCGAGTTCTTCACTGTACTGCACGCCAATTATGTGAGTGCTCCCAAACGCACAGGGAGCCCGTCCTGGCTCCGCCAAGACCCAGAACTCAGCTTTGCAAGGTCATTGGATAGATTCAAGAGGGTAGCATTTTAACCCAGACGAGAAAAAGAAAGATGGTTTGGTCCACTCATTTTACTCTCTGTAAGTCTCCCCACCAAGGGGAAAAGCTGGATTTGGAAATGCTGTTGCCTCTTCAGGTTTTTGTCAGGCTCCAATGTGTTAATGTCAGTGAAAGTGCCTTTGGAAACAAATGCGTGTTTTTATTATTGGTATTATTTTCAGAGAACAAGATTATGAAGTTGACAGATTCCCTTCGGCCTGAGTCATCTTATAAAATCACTTTCATTAAAGAAATTTTAAAATAGATTTCTCCCAGGTAAATAACTGGGTTTCCTTTTATTATAATTGGCTTTTCAAATATCATGCTTAAGGTAAATTTGATGTGATTTCTACATATGTAGTTTTTCATTTCTTTTGGTATTTTCGAGAAAGCAGTGACATGATATCGTTATATTCATTAATTCTTTCATTCGACAAACATTTTCTGCGGTGCAGGCCCAGATCTGGTGCTGGAGTCACAAAGACAGAGTAGGGTCACACTTAAACAGCAGGAGCTCCCCGTTTTGTGGAGCCACAGCTGTGTGAAAAGACGAGTCAGACGTGACAGGACAGGGCCTGACCACAGCGAGAAACCAAATGCTCTGGACACACAGGAGATGGACACCAGGGGGCGTTCCTGAGGGAGCAACTGCTGAATTGGGTCTTGAGGGTTGAAAGTGGGTGGGGAAGCAGTCCCAGGCAGAGGGAGAAGGGGACAGCAGTGAAGGGGTGCGGAGTTTGAGTCCCGTGGGGCTGGAGTGTGGTGACAGAAAGAGGTGGGAGGAGAGCTCGACAACAAGTAGCAAAACGCCTGTAAGTCAGGGCGGGAGGCTGGATCTCCCGCAGGAGACAGCAGGAACCCTCTGCAGGCTGGGGTGTTGGTCAGAAATGAGCAGGGCGTTTGCTGAAGCGTTTTCTGTGGGAGAAATGTGGAGAGAGATGGGGGGGAGGGGGGGAGCTAAGACCAAAGACTGAGTCAACCACTCCCATGAAAGATGATCAAGGTCTGCCCTATGGAAGGGGCTGGGAGCAAGGAAAGGAGAGACTCAGTTCAGGAGATATTTCTGCATAGAACTGATAGTGTTTGGAACCGCCGTGATCAAGTTGGGACAGGAGATGAAGACTCAAGAAAGTCTGAGTCCTTTCTGCTCTGGGCACACTGTGTCTCCTGTAAGCAGGGGCAGGAGTTTGATTAGGTGTCGGAGGCTGTGGCTAGGGGAGGAGAGACCAGTTTTTAAAGAGTTATACTTGAGAAGTCTCTGGAACATCCAGTGGTTGGACCCAGCGCAGCTGCCCAGTGGTGCAGGTCTGGGTCATGCAGGGGGACAAGGATGGCAGATATGGATGCCCTCAGCATGGACAGCAGATGGCCCTGGACTGGCAGAAGCCACTGCGCCAGCCCACTCTGGCTGTGAGCAGCCATTCTTTTCACCACACACACACACACACACACAGACACACACACACACACACACACACACACATACACATACCGGCCCCATGTACCATAAAATTATCATTTGGCACAATTAGAAACTCCTGCAACTTTCTTTGTTTCTTCTCATCCCCCAACCCCTCCACACACCAAAGTTTCTACATAGGATTCAAAGGAGGGACAGACCTCTGAAGTCCAGCCTTAAATTCCCAGGGACCCTAAATTAATACTCCCTATTATAGACAGACAAGAGGAGCAAGGGCCGCCCTGTGCAGTCAGAGAAGGAACCGTGGAGCAGAGAGAGGAGCTATGCTCAGAGAGGTAGAGGGAGGCTCAGGAGAGCCCAGCGCCACTGCTGAGACAGAGGGAGGATGGGGAGGGAGGGGAGGCTTTGAGATGTACGGGGAGGTTGACGGTCTCCAAGGCTGCCCAGCAGCCGGTAGAGTTGGGATCGCGAACAAGTATTCATGTGTGTTTGCCGTGTGCGTTTCCTTCTTGAGCAAGATCTCCACTTCTGAGGCCTCCCTCTCAAGGCTCGCATGAAATCGCTGTGTAGCAATCACATCACATCATGTTAACATGCTCAAAGTGTGCGTGGTCTGTTTTTCCAAACCCCCCACCCCCTACCCCAATCGGCCCTGCCCATCTCAGAGTGCCTACCGAGTCTTCACCAGTAGCACCTGCTTAAAGCACATGATTCTGAAAGTCCGGCGGGATGCGCGCAATTTCGAACGCTACCAGCACAACCGGGACTTGGTGAATTTCATCAACATGTTCGCAGACACGCGGCTGGAGTTGCCCCGGGGCTGGGAGATCAAAACGGACCAGCAGGGAAAGGTGAGCGTGACGGCTGTGTGGGCCTTTCATGCAACAGGCTGTTTCCCTGAAGGTGGGAGAGTCAGGAGGGAGGTTGGTGAGGAGAGGAAAGCCTGTGTCTGCGATGTGCTGTGGGGCCACGAGGAGGAAGGGAGGCGGTAACTCTCTGCATCAGGGTTTCTGTCCTGTGCATTGTAGGCTGTCGAGCACATCCCTGCCCTCTGCCCACTGATGTCCATAGCTCCCCCCAAGTTGTGACCTTTCTGTATGTCCCGAGGGGCAAAATCACACCTCTTTGAGAACTGCTGCCCACATCTTTTTAAATTTATCTTTAAATTTGAAACCACATTATGTTCATTGGCCTGTCTATCGTTTTGCCTCCTGGGCAGCTAACTCTCAGGGAATGAAATTATTAGTTAAATGAGAGTGACATTATTAGATTAATCATTGTAATTTCCCTAATAAACCTTCAGTTCTCATTAAAACAGCCTGTCAAACAGGGATAGGGTCTACTTACCGGGCCCGTGTGAGGTTCCTGGCTTGCATCTTGCCTTTGTGTGACATTAACTAAAACTGGTCCTTCCAAGTGATGCTTCAGAAGCCTAGCTGAGTTCGCTAAAGTGGGGATGTTTTTTCTTGATCACCATCAGTCGTCTCAATGTATTTATAGGACAGGCCAAACGGTTCACTAAGGAATTGTCCCTGAGTAATCTTTTATGAACTTCGGTAGGGAGAATCCCTCCCTCTTTTAGGGTCAAAGGAATCAGAAGCTTTGCCAGTAGACGTGTCTCAATGGGAAAGTGCACTGTAGCGCTCCTTTCCTCTGTGATTGTGAACTGCAAAGCCACAGTTCCCCAAAGTGTGCTGATGGGGTGTCGTTGTCCCCTGGGAGCCACAAATCCCTCTCTCACAAACCCCTTAGCCTGCCTCAGATCCTGGGCTCTCTGCAGTGTGTAGGGAAAGAATGTGTCCCTTAATGCAAGTCCCTCAGTCCAGTGGAGCTCTGTGATCAGCAACTCTGTGGTCAGGGATGAATTAGGGGGAGGAGGGGCACGCCTTGTGTAGCAGAAAAGCCACCATAGCCAGAATCTGCTCCCCGGGACCTTCTCTTTTACTGGATGTGGGCTCCACTGGGAGAATGACGGTGATTTATACTGTGAGGACTTGCTGACATGTGTTAGGGTGGGAAATAAAGCCTGAGCCAGAACAGAAAGTAAAGGAGCATCTTATCAGAGCTGGGGTGCACCTGCCTCGTCTCAGTGGTCTGCAGTGGCCACATTTACATTTATCATTTAAGCAAGATGCCAAGAGATCACCGCTATGAATCAGTGAACAGAAAGGCAGCGTTTCTTATGCAAACAGCTCATACTAATGCAAACAGCTTGCTTAGCCTTGGATTTCCAGGACTGCAGCTCTCGTACCAGATGCAAACAGCAGGGAGCCCAGTGCCATGCCAGGGATGCCCCCAAATGCCATTAGCCCTGGTTCTCCATGTCACGCACAGCCTCCTGGTCATCCTGCTAGCAGAAAGCACAGCAGCTGAGACGTACACAGTGAGTTTTAGCCATTTCAGAATACGTATTAGGGAATTTCTGGCAAGAGATTTTTTTCCCCCAACTCTGTTTAGTGAGATGGTATCATATACAGGAAAGAAAAAGGTCTGAATATGAAATGAGAAGACTCGAGTCCTGCTTTCAGTTATAATACAAACTAGCTGTGTGACTATATACACACACAGAGAACGGTCTCTCTGGTCTCTTATTAAGTGAACACACACACAGACTCACAGTTGGCCCACAAAAATTCTAAGAGGCATACATTGTATTGAATTGTTGGAGGGGAGTAGCCTTAAATTTGAAATTTGTTGTCACAATCCCTAGGGTAGAGAGGAACAATGGAGGATATTGGAAAAAACAGGGGTAAGAGGACATGTGCAGAGGACTGGTCCATCTCATTCTGAACGTGAGACCCTGGGCAGTCACTTCACCTCTCTGAGCCTCACTTTGCTTATCATAAAGTAGCAATAATGATGCCTGCCTTGCCTTCATGATTTTATAACCAGATGTTAAGAATAAATACGTTAATGTGGGAATCCATGATAATATGGCAGGTCAGCAGTAGTCCTCTTAATCTGCAGTAAATGTCCACCAAAAAAATCCAAGATCAAGATTGGCAACTGGAGTCAATAAAAGAATACCTCATTGCTAAAGCCCATTGATGATGAGAATAGATTGAGAAAATATTTTTGGACTACATCCTGCGGATCAACCCTCTAACCTGGAAAGAATGTGCCACCCAAGATACTGGGCTTTTGGCACACCACTCACTGAAGGATGGTGTGGCGAAGCTCACTATGCAAAAGCCATCTTCATAGGTGGCTAGAGCGGGTTCCAGAGTACCAGATGATCCTCTCGTTCCTCATCTGGCCAATCTGCTTCTTTATCAACACATTCCGAGACGACAGCCTTCCCTTTAGTATGCACTGTGGTAGGGATAGAAGGCTGCGGCTGAGTTGTTTGGTGGCTTTGAAAGCAGGGTCATTCCCGCAAAGGGTCACAGAGACAGAAACTGGAGCAAAGAACAAAATGGCGTCTGACTCATCTGTCGTTTTGAAAGTCTGAGAGGGAAGGACACAGCTTCCTGCCCAAGTTCAGCAGAGATTGCGTGTGGGCCCAAACTGGGTTCCAGGGCTGAGCTGAGGAGGGTGGTTATCATCCGGAGAGGAAGTGGGCCTGTGGCTGGTGAGACAGGTGGGATCCTGTCTGTGGCAGGCATCATGGAGGCAGCCTCCTCCACTGAGGAGCGAACACACAATGACAAAGTGAGAGGGGGCCTACGAGGACCCACTGCTACGTGAAGGAAACAGAATCTCCATCTGAGAAAAAGCATATCTCATCGTGTAATTTTCTTCAGAAAATAGAAATACATTTTTCAAAGATATCTGCTTATTATCCACAAAATGGCACAGGAGCACATGACTTCTATTGAGCGAGAAGGAGGAGCCACAAACAGAAAACAAGCCGAGAGGAAGCAGACAGAGGAAAGTAGAACCACCATGAGATCTAGCAATCCTGCTTCTGGCTGTATATCCAAAAGAATTAAAATTAAAATCTCAAAGAGTTATCTGCCCTCCCATGTTCTTTGATATACCATTCACAATAGCCAAAATATGGAAACAATTTAAATGTCTGTTGATGAATGAATGGATAAAGAAAATGTGGCATATACGTACGATGAATATTATTCAGCCTTAAAAAAGAACAAAATTCTGACACATTCTATGACATGAATGAAGCTGGAGGACATTACGTTAAGTGAAATTAGCCAGTCACAGAAGGACAAATATTGCATGATTCCACCTTTATGAGATATCTAAAGTAGCCTCATAGGGGCCGGCCCGGTGGCCGAGTGGTTAAGTTCGCACGCTCCACTTTGGCCGCCCAGGGTTTCGCCGGTTCAGATCCTGGGCACGGACATGGCACCACTCATGAGGCCACACTGAGGCAGCATCCCACATGCCACAACTGGAAGGACCCACAACTAAAATATGCAACTATGTACTGGGGGGATTTGGGGAGAAAAAGCAGAAAAAAAGAAAAAAAAAGAAGATTGGCTAACAGTTGTTAGCTCAGGTGCCAATCTTTAAAATATAAAATAGAATAAAATAGCCTCATAGAAACAGAGTAGAGTGGTGATTGCCAGGGGCTGGGGGGAGCAGGAAATGGGGAATTTCTGTTCGATGGGTATAGAGCTTCGGTTACGCAAGATGAATAATTTCTAGAGAGCTGCTTACAACATTGTGCCTATAGTTAACAATACCGTATGGTACACTTAAAAAAATTTTAAGAGAGTAGATCTCATGTTTTGTTCTTACTACAATTTAAAAAAGAAAGGAAAGTGGGCTGAAAATAAACATTTTAAGATTGCAAGGGGAAACAAAATGTAATAGCATAGAGATGAAAGAGAGCAGAACTGACATGGTGTAAAATCAGATCACTGATACAGAATCAGAACATGGAAACAGCGCCAGCCCCCAAAGCAGAGGGAAGGAACCACATTGCACACAGTGAAGGATAAGGTTTAAAAAAACCAGAAACCATATCTCACCTTCTCGGCGAGGCCTCCCGTGACCACCCAGTTTAATACCACTGCTTCCCCAAGATCCAGCCCATGCGCTCCACCATGTAACTTACATATGTGTTAGGTTTCCTGTCTTATTTGCTTCTCCTGGCAGCATTTCAAACCCCACGAGAGCACGGATTTTTGCTTCGCTCGTTGATGAAACCCTGAGGGCCTACAATAGTGCCCGGCACATGGTTGGTACTCCATAAATCTTTAGTGGATGAATGACTTATAGATGTTCCTGAAGAAGAAATCAGAATAATAGTACAGCGGCAACAATTAAACGTTAAATATAAATATTAATACTGAAAATAAAACTTTGTGATCTAAAACAAATTATTCAGGTGAGCAGATTTATTGGGCTCACGGAGTTATAATAAAATTGATTAAAATAGCTTCTCCATCTACGCATAATCTGGAATGTCTTTACATAGAAATTTTTTAAATCTTATCAATATATGATAATATGAAAATTACTTACGACAGAATTAAAATCAGACCAGCTTCAAATTTCTCATCCTTAAAACCAAACTATAAAAATCCACAAAGCAACGACTACAGGTTATTGATCAGAAAAGGTTGCAGCCCAATAATCTGATATCCAGACAAATTATCTTTCGAAAGTGAAGACACCAGAACAACAACCTCATGTACAAGATTTCAGAGCTCCCCTCCTCTTTACCCATCCTGAGAAAACACCGAAGGCCATTCTCCAGATGGCTCACAAACGAAGAACAGGAAGCCAATAATGGGAAAATCATAGTATAAAAGGACTGGTGTGAGTATTTCAGTCAACCAAATGCATACATATAGATGTAAATAATTGCTGTTAAAATGCTTTAAAGTATATTGGAAAAGCCTCAATTAAATATAGGAAAACATGTATAATAAAAATGGAATAGTTGTATAAGAGCAATTTGGATCAATATCCCCAGACTAGAATAAAAAAGATGAGGAAAGGGGAAGAGGGCAGGTGAGCAGATGAGGAAAGTTGTGTTACGTTCCTCGTTGGGTATAAGGGAGTCAAACGGGATAATTTGAAAAACAAAGGCTAACTATAATTATTTGACAAACTTTGAAGGCAACTGTGCCATTTAAAAGCAGATTTTTCTCTTTCAAACTCCTAGAAAAGATAAAATCAAACAAAATACAGTTTATATAGCAAAACACAAAAAAATCAACGTGGAAGCAAACAAATGGAAAGAATAAGAATAAAATAACAAAAGTAAAGCCAAACCTAACGGTCATGGCAGTAGGTTGAAACAGGATAAGCTTGCGTACCAAAAGGAAAACACTTTCAGACCTGGCAACAAGACAGATCCAGCTTATCAAACACATGCCTAAGAAATGATTCAGCAAGTTTAAAAATAAAAGAATAAATATTAATATAGTTTGAAAACAATAACAGAAAACTCAGTCATGGTGTATTCATATCATTCAAAAGAGAGTTCAAGTCCAGAATCATTAAACGGGGTCAGAGAAAGATTTTATATTAATCAATGGCGCAATTAAAACAAAGATACAATAATCATATCCCCTTAGGAGATGAATAAAATCATATCGTATTATATAAAGAAAAATAACAGCGAAATATGAAAGAAATGAAACAAACACATTCATAGTAGGAAAACGTGCTTTCTATCCACCAGTTTGACAGATTAAATAGACAAAATGAACCATCAAACACAGTTTTTCACAATGCGTCTTCAGTCCTGTCGAAGCTGTTGGACAGACGGCCTTTTTGAATCTGCGTGGGACGCTTTCCTGGGAAATTGTATTACAAGCCACAGATACCGATGTACATGACACTAGGAGAGTTATTCACCTGTGTCCTGCGGGAGGACATTTTTGATCTCTATAATGAAACCACCTCCTGAATGACTTCTTATGGAGCTCTTTGAAAGGCTTGTTTACAATGACATCTAATACTTCAAATGATACGCTTATACCTCCCAAGAATAATGTCTAAATCTGTATAAAATTTCTTTGACTACTTCTGTCAGGTGACATCTGGACGTATCTAAAATGAGCATTGATTGAGGTCATTTAAGCAAAGATATTTTCACCAAACATTACATTTTGTTCAAAAGAGAGTATTTGAAAGATTGTTTTGTAGTACAAGAGGTTTTTTTTTTTAAAAAAAAAAAAAGTATTTTCTCTTTTATGAGGTAATTGTAGATTTATAGAATAACTTTTGTCATATATTAGGACATATACAGTAATCAGACATGCCACAAAGATTTATGTATAAGATGCATTATTTTAACAGTGAAAAAGTCAAATGTCCAATGATAGAGGATACTGAAATTAATTATTATGCATCCATCAAATTGAATACCATAGACTTACTAAAAGTCTATGTTAAAAGAATGTTTAACAACTTAGGGGAAGCTCATAAAATAATAGGTGAAAAAATCTTATAAGAAAATTGTAGGTGCAGATGTGTGGAAAATATGTATATATTTGTATATTTGCATAGCAAAAGAAAACACTAGAAAAAAAATCACCAAAAAATATTTTGGTGACTACCTTTAGATTGTGATATTTGGGATGATATTAGTTATTTTCTTCCGACTTCTTTATCCTTCTAAAATTTTTTCTCAGTAAGACTGTGCTAACCTATAATCAAAAAAGAGCTATTTTAAAAATTATTTTAAAAATAAATTTCATTTTAAAAATAAAACCCTCTATAAATTATTAATTACTAGTATTATTTTGATCCGTCGAAGGCCCTATTTCTCTTATCTTCTGTATTGAGTAAAGTGTTATGGTCCCGACTCTATAACTCCACTGTGTAAAGTGTGTATCAATGCCTGATATCACTTCATTCAACTACTGAGCAAGCAGGCGCACAGTGCCCCACTCTTCCAGCTAGTCTTGAATAGATCAAAAGAAGGGACAGAAGTAAACATGACTGGAGCCCCGTAGCATTCCCTTATATGAATTGACTTCACTTTGGCTCATTCTCATGCAGTGTGCCTTTTTTTGCTGGTCTGTCTGCAGTCCTTTTTCGTGGACCACAACAGTCGAGCCACCACTTTCATTGACCCCCGAATCCCTCTTCAGAACGGTCGTCTTCCCAATCATCTGACGCATCGACAGCACCTCCAGAGGCTCCGAAGTTACAGCGCTGGCGAGGTACCATCACCCACTGCCCCGACCCCACCCTTCGCAGGGTCACAGGCTCTGCCTCTTCTCGTGGGGCCAGAGCTAGTCCTTAGCGGCCAGGATCCAGGGTTGCCTATTCCCCATGGGGCTGAGCCATATCCATACTGCTGTGTAGAAGAATGAATGATGGCTTGAGGTCACCCACTTAACTCCCTAGACTCATCTTCCGATTGCCTTCCCTTTAGTCCTACACAATCACCGCTGTTAAAGATCTGTCTAATTGAGAGAAAACTGAAAGTGTAGCATGTCAGGGGATCCCTACACCTATGATGGGAGCCGTGCCTCCTAAGGCCTGCCAGTCACATATAAATTCTTAAAAGACCATGGAACTGCTGTGCAGTGTATGGCTGACTTTAGATGTCTACCTCTCCACAGACCCTGGAGAAGACCTCAATAATATACATATGGGCTAAAAACTGGGGCAAGTCAATGGGACCATGTGAATACTCTGTTCCCATCCCACCTTATGCTCTTCCCTGATTTATATCTTCTTTTACTCCCCATGGTTTGCCTGCTGCTGAGCCGTGAGAGGCCACTACCTTTCTTAAGCATCACATTCATTGCCTTTCTGAATTACTGTCTCTGTATCCCATACCCCCGTCCTCCTTTCTCAAACCGAAACTCAGAACAGAGCTCTTTTCTATTTCCAATCAATTCCTGTCAATATTATGGACAAATACCTTTCTATGTCCCGACTGGCATTTCCCAAGTGTCTGTACCTTCTCATAGAAACCGCCAGGATCTCAGGAGATATGAGCTCTGAGGACCATTTCCCATAAAACAGCTTATAAAATTAGACTATAATGAAGGGAAGAAGTGGTGTAGGAAGAAAAGAAATATATATATGGCCCCTACAGAGAGTCATTCCAGGAGCGCCACAGTGGACGTGTCAGGAGAAACTGGGAAAATATGGATGTACCCAACAGCCTCCAGAGGGCAGACGGAAGTCCCAAGGGAAGAGCTTGTTGATGGCGTGTCAGCACCAGCTTTAATGAAAGCCTAGTGCACACAAATTTCTTTACTACTTTTTCAGGGGAATCATCTGCATACCCTGAGAAACATAACTATTTGCAACCAAGGGCACTCAGGGTTTACTGCCAGTGTGATAAAATGGATTTTTCTTTCATGGAGTCATCTTAGGTATCATTGACTTAGCATACTACTAAAAGCATGTTAACTCTTTCTTTCTGCATAGATGTAAAATGCGTATGTGACTGCGCAGAGAGGGAGCGTTATACATCCTGGAGCGTTATATGGGTGTCAGAACCCTCCAGAGACCAGACACTCAGCAGGAGATATGTTCACAGCCCACGGAAAGCACTGTCCCAGCTTCCCAGCTCAACATGCATAGTCCCCCTCTCTGGTGGCACTTTTATAAACTTCACAAAGTGCAAGATGTATTGTCTTGAGTTGATAGTGGATCAGTTCAAAATTCTGCATCAATTTGAAGTTGCCATTTTAATTTATTTAAAATGTCCAGCTTTTTAATATTATTAAGGCAATTTCAGTATTAATGTAGGGTAACTACATATGATAAAAGCAGCTGAGCGCTGCGCACAGATTCTCTGTCACTGAAATGGAAATCTCGATTACTCAATGAAGGATGAATCCCCTAAAGATAGAGATCGCTTACATCTATAAAAAATTAACCTGAAAATATAAATATTAAAACCTTTCTGTTGAAAGAACAAGATTAAGATCATGAGTACCACTTGCATTACCTGGTCCAAAACATTTATTTGATATGACTAGCCCAAACACAGTCACATTGAATATCAACATTAGTGACAAAGCACCAGTTGCATCAGCCAAGAAAGACTCTAACACATAATGATGAAAGGATGTTAATGTGCATCAGCCATCTGTATACTTCCTATTCATCCATTCTCCAACTGACTTCTTCAGCTTTTCACACCCCTCCCATCCCTCTGCCCATCCTCTCTCTGCTGGTAGCTTCGCACTGAGATAAGGGGGAACCAAGAAAAGCAACAGAGAGAGAAGCTGGGCAGCAGAGGATATCTGATCCAGAGGCAGCACACCAAAAAGAACAAAGACCCAGCCTCTGTGAAAACAAATATCTGGTCCTCCACTGCGAGAGCACACAGCCTGGGGGATGAGGAGGACCTTGGTAGAACAATAGAGAGAGGGGGCAGTGTTGATTGCGTTTGCTGTGATGTGATTTTGCTCAACAAAGATTGATAAGTGCATGGCCGCTATGAGCATTGTGAATGCAAAGAAGTGGGAGATGTGATCCCCACCCTGGAGACGTTTGTATTCTATTTTTGAAGCCAGGCCAAGAATATACAAAGTTAAGTAACGAGACAAATTAGAATATGATTGAGTGCCAAGAGAGATGTTAGGACCAGTGCCACAGAAGTTCAAAAGAAGCCAAGGGAAGATATCTTTTAAAATAAGGTACTTGACCTAGAACTAGAAAAATTGGTAAAATCTAGCTGGGTACAAGGAAGAGGAAGGGCAGTCCCCTAGAGAGCACAGCGTAAGCAGAGGTGCAGAGGCGGGATTGAGACAGGTCTGTAGAGCGACAGTGAATAGTTCCATACGACCAGGATAGTAAGTTTCCACGTGGTTTTGGGAAAGCTTTGAATGCCACATGGAAGAGCTGGAACTTTTTTGAGTCCCTTGAACAAATTGGGTTGGAATAATATGATGATTTTTGTGTGAAAATGGGCTTTAGAGGTCAATTCATCTGTTGCTTCTCAAGAGGAGCAGACTGTTGACATTTGGGGAGGACAGTTCTCTGGTGTGTGGAATTGTCCCATGCCATTGCAGGCCCTTTTTTGGCAAGTCCCACCCATTAAATATTAGGAGGGCCCCACCTCACCCGTCACTATGACAACCAAAACAATAAATAAAACAAAATACCTCCCAAGCATTTCCAAACACTCCTAGGTGGTAATAGCAGTCTGGTTAAGAATCATATTTTGTAGTCAAGTAAATTGAAATACCAAGAACTCAAGTCACACAGAGGATTCAGGACCCCAGCCCAGCTTCCCTCACTCCCAGGCCAGGGTAGACTAGTCTTTTAACGAGGAGGCAATGAAGGCCAAGACGAGGAAGGATTGTGGCAAAGAGGGAGTTGAGAGAGAAAGGCCCATTAGAGGTAATGCCACAGGCCAGGTGTAAGGTAGGGAGGTGGCAGAGAGACAGAAAACAGAGGACACCCTGGGGGAGGAAGCCTCAGGGAAGTGGAGAGGTGTGGAGGAAAGGGCGCCTGGGACTCGAGTCAGCAGGTGGGAGTCCCAGCTTGGGCTTCTCCACGGAGGAGCTGTGGATCCTTGTGCCTTCCTTCCCTTTCTGGGGTCTCATTTCCTTGTCTGAACGTGGAGACAAGGGGACTAGATGGCCCCTGAAGTCCCCTCCAGCTCTGTGATTCTCAAGCCTGTGAGGTTAGAGTCACAGTCCCGTTAACACATAGGGAAGATGAGCGGCACAGCCAGGTGGGGAGGATGGCGGCTTTGTCTTTAGATAAGCTGATGGTGAGTGTGGAAACAGCAGGATACCCAATTAGAAATGGTGGGTAAGCAGACAGAAATATGAGACTCGGGAATAATCAATGAATTATTTTCATAGTCCGTGATTTTTCTATGTCGTATGGCACAGGTAATGGGGAATCAGATACAGATGTTTCTTAGACCACAGCCTTAAGAATCAATGTTTGCCATCACCTTCATGAGTTATTCTCTTGAGTGTTGCTGAGCAATTGATTTTTTTTTTTTTTTGGTGAGGAAGATTTTTCCTGAGCTAACATCTGTTGCCAATCCCCCCCCTTTCTTTTTTTGCTTGAGGAAGATTAGCCCTGAGCTAACATCTGTGCCAATCTTCTTCTATTTTGTATGTGGGATGCCTCCACAGCATGGCTGATGAGTAGAGTAGGTCCGCACCCGGGATCCGAACCCACAAACCCAGGCTGCTGAAGCAGAGCATGCGGAAATTTAACCACTGGGCCATGGGGACGGCCCCCTCAGCAGTTGATTTTTTATAATTACACTTAAGGACACAATTAAAATCAGTTTCTATATTCCAACTCCTACATGGTAAAAGTTTCTCTCAAAACCCCAGCAATAGGTTACTAATAGAGACACTGTTAAACACCTTTTGGGTTAGCCTTTACCTCCCCTGAAAAATTTTCAGGCAGTTTCCTGAAAGCAGTTATCAGGAATATAGGATTTTATGCATAAAAAGACCATTATTTGACATTTTAACATGCATTTTAATACAGTGGCACATCTGTCCGTAGTATATTTAAGGACCAACAAAACAGACCTTATCTCTTCCCATAGTGTCCAAATGGAATTGGCTATAGATAAATGGAAAGAACATTGCAGACTATAAATATCAGATCCCGTCTCTCTATCGTTAAGGAAGTCACTGAAGGTCAAGCTTGTCTTGTTTATACTGCAATTAACAAAATAAATTAACTAATTAGGAAAGATAACAGAACACGTCATTTTCATTTCTTTTACCACCTTCTCTTGGTCAAGTGAGAAAATCATTAGTCATATGAATTTTCTGGAAGGGTACACAGAAAAAAGCTTAACAATAGTGGCCTCAGGAAAGGGCCAGAGTCTGGCAGGGAAAAGAAACTGACTTTTCACTTTAAAAGCAGAAGTCACTCTTAGTCATTCTTCGCAGGAAGCTTTTTGGATGACAAAAGTCATTTCATTAGCTCTAATGTCCCAGAGAAGTCGTCATCCAGGAAGCTTGTCTCCGGAGAGGGTGACTTCTGCATTGCTTCTTAAAATTGGTAATTTTCCTCTTGATGCCACATAACCTATGCATGGTTACAAGGTTTGGTTGGATAAAATTCAGACACCTATGAAAAGAAACTTTTTAATGATAAGTAGTATGTAATGAGTGTAGAAAACTCAGACACAGGTGGAAAAGCAGTGAAAATACCCCATCTGGAGACCCTCCCTTGTACACGTAGAAATAAAAAACTAAATCATGTTGTCGGTGGTTCTCCATCCCAATTTACCGTTACAGGACCTTGTGGACAGTTTCCATGCCATGAAATTCTTCTATAATATTTTATCATGTGGATCTACCCTAATTTATCTCAAGCTTTTCTTTGTACATTATGCTTATTGCCCACTTTTTACTATTATAAATGTAGAACAACTCAAACATAGGTCTCTCATTTTATTTCCTTGAGACAATTCTGAAAACTTTGTTAGTGATCTATTTTTAGAATACAAAAGGAATCTAGAAATGAATCATTCGGGCCTTTCCTCTGAACTTGCTAATTTTTTTTTTTATCATCAGGTCTCCAGCATTTTCAAGGAGAGTGTTAGCTGATTGCTAACCCGAATTCAGTCTAAAACCTACAATTTTCAATCACAGCTTAAAAAACCACCAGTTCATATTTCCAAATTGCAACACAGAAGAGAAGCTTGTTTACCAGTCACTGAAAACTATTTTCTGAGCATATCTATTTTGTTTTGTCTAGAGAACCAAATGTTTGAAGTTTTCACATTTGCAATTATGATTAAAGCTATCTCAACATCAAATGGAAAAGAAATTCTAAAAGTAGTCCCTAGTGCATTCTGGGTTTTAGCTGTAGAATAGTCATGGCGTGTCAGGGGTTAAAGCAGCCCACTGTGGGCTCTCCTCTGTCTGTCTGTCTGTCTGTCTGTCTGTCTCTCTCTCTCTCTCTCTCTCACACACACACACACCTGAAAACCTCAGTAAGACAAAAAGCACCAGATGCCAGGGAATTTAATGAGTCACGTAATTTTGGTTTTAATTGGAAAAATCCATTCATCCAGTCATTTCCAGTAGTTAGGAAAACAAATGTTAGTATCATGTTTGCAGTGAGATCCAAAGTGGTCACTCAGTGGATATTAGACATTCTTCAGGATGGACCATTTAGTACCAATTCAGGGCTGCAGGAATCCTAGTACATGCTAAATTCTAGCCCAATCTTAGAATCTCAGAATCTCCTCCGGCACTGCCTGAAATTGTCTCTATTCCTGTAAATTCCTGGCTCCTCATTGGAAAAGATCGTTTCTATCTAACCTCGCATCCTCCAGCTCTCACCTGGAGGCCATCCAGTACCGCTCTGTAATCACCTCCTCTGCCCTTGGCAGACGTTTCTCTGGCTCAGGGACCGCCCCCCCCCCGCCCAAGCCCTACCTCTCCCTGTGTTGCTTCCTCTGTCGCACTCACAGTCAGCTTGAGGCATATTCCTCAGTCCATCATTTACCTTCAGAGCAGCTGGGCTTCATCTCGTTTCTGAAGTTTTTCAATCTGGCTTAGTTTTGCCAGTGAGCAGGTGACCTCGGAGCTAGGCACTGTTTTCCCTAAAGCATGTCTCCAACGCGAGAACTCTCTCTGACAGCCAGGAAGAGAAGTGAGCTTGTTCCTGTTTCAAAGCCCTGTTCATTTCAGGGTAACCCACCGACAGTTAGATACCTTCGCTCAGGGTGTGACAGCAGGCGTCACCGAGCTCAGTGCACAGCCAAGCCTTCTCGAGGTCTGTTGTCAGATCTATCTGCTTCCCAAGTTTCTCTCTGTAACTCGTCACTTAGGTCATCTTCAGCTGAGTGGGCTTTGAGAATCCTGTCTTGACAGCATCAAAAATATTTTAACACGCATTAAGGCAGGCTGACATAATTCCCCCCAAGGAAAAGAGGCCTATCATTTCAGTCCCAGAAAGTCTTTATATATTTACTAATTCATGGAGAAAAAAGAGCAGTCTAGAGGCTCAATATTGCATATTTTAGTAATGAGCAAACCTTGCTTTCATCACCTTGCATCGTAACCATTTGGTTGAGACTGGCAAGTGCTGTTGCAGAAGTACCAGCTTCTAAATCTTGGTGTCTGGCTGTACCAGCTGAACAGAGCCAAGTGCTGATGACATCAAAGTGAGAAGTCCACCAAAGTGGCACAGAATCTATTCTCTTGTCCCTAAAGTAAGCTGTGGGCAAAGAGAAGGACCAGGCGAGAAGAAGGATAGATCTACATCCCTACTACTTGCGGAAGAGCAGTTCAAAGACTGCCCCATACAGATGGCGAACTGGCAGCACATCTCTGGATGCAAAAGATATTATTCCTGTCTGTGTGGAGTATGGAAGTAGGACCCAAAGGAAAACCAGTCATGGCCACGTCTTCAATTAGGAAGCCCTAAGTAATCTGTCTTACTTTGTCGTCTGCAGTATCACACATGGCCTGGTCTTAAATGACCACTGTGAGATTGACCTGACCTTTCTGGACTTTGTAGCATAGGGTCTCATCACCTCTCCGGAATTCTGTGTGAGTGAATTGTGCACTGGTCTCAGAGGGAGAAATTTCTTTCGTTTTTTTATCTGGATGTTTGAGCTCTTTATAAGTATCTTGCAAAGCAATCCTCAAAATTCTTAAATATTTTTAAAGTCTATTTTGGTATACTTTGCCAAAATGAGTCATACTCTATTCCAAACCCCATATATCTGGCGAATGTGGAAAAATCTGGGGAATGTGGAAATATTGAAAATCTATGGATTTTCAAAAAATCTACAGTGTCCCAGTTTAGATAGCTTACTCTGCAGGGATCCTTAAAGAAGAAAATGTGTATGGAATCAGGTAGAAAGCTCATTGTCATGTTCTAGAGCTTAGAGGATTTATTGAAATTTAAAATTGATCTAAATTCATTATCACAATTAATCAGTTTTAAGCTAAGCAAGTTATTTATTCCATGAAGTTTTGTCAAAATGCCCAACTGAAATCAAGATGCTGGATGCAGGCGAGTAGTATGGGAGCAGTAAGCCCATGCTTGGCAGTCAAGCATCAGTTAGAATGCTAGTTCTATCTCTCAGGGTTGAAAATTTTGGAAAAACTTCATTTTCTCTGGTCGTCAGTTTCCCCATTTGTAAACTAGGATTAATAGTGCTTATCTTGCAGAATTTTGTGAAGAGTCACCAGCATAGAGAATGGAGTAACAGGCATTAAACTAAGAATGGCCACTCAGGTGAAACAAACACCGTTTGAAAGAACAAGTCTGTTCCACATTCAGTTTTGAAGTTCAGTGCTGCCTGTTGGAGATGAGGGTTATAAACCTACCTTTACTAATAATATTTATCTAGAATTTATCTTTTTAACATATTTATGAAGAGAAACGTTTCTTGGTCTATTCTATGCATTAATTTGATTTCCATTCATGACATTTGGCACGATTACTTTCTAAAAAACCATAATATAGCACTCCAACCACTCTACTTAGTCATTTTTTTTTAACTTGCTCATTTTCTATCACTTTGAGGATCGTAACTTCATTGCTTTTTTAACTCAGGTGGTGTCAGAGTCTTTTGCCCCTCGTATTGAAAAACTGGTATCAAAAGACGATCTGAAATTGATGACAGATTTCCAATGCTAATAATTTTATTTTGAAATTAGGCCTCAGAAGTCTCTAGAAACAGAGGAGCCTCTTTACTGGGCAGGCCAGGACACAGCCTAGTAGCTGCTATTCGAAGCCAACATCAACATGAGTCATTGCCACTGGGTACGTATCATGCTTTTTGAACCCTGGAAACTGAAACTTAGCCTTGTTTTTCTTATCCTGAATCCTTGAATGTTGAGGATTCTGTCGTCTTTCTGCTCTTTTAAGGTATAATGTACTCCCCACCCTTTACTCTCGTCCTCTCCTTTGCCTCTTTTCCCTTCCCCTTCCTCCTCTCTTTGTCCTCTCTCTTCTCTGCTCTCTTCCAGACCCACCTTCCCTTTCTTCTTCACTGCATTTGGTGATTTGTTATCTGGTCCAGGAGAGCATAGTTCAAATGAGGTGATGGATGTTATTGCTGTTAGATGCAGTTTTTAATTTAGATCTCTCTTCCTGTGTGTGTAAGGGGATAAGGCAGCACAGCCTTCATTCCTAACCTCAGCTACCCCTTTCTAAAACAAATGCCACTTGTGTCAAGGGAAATGAGGTGAGAAAGTCTAAATGGATTTGGAAAAGTTCCCTTGTCGCTACTGGGAGATCAACCCATGGCCACGGGTGGTAAGCGGCAAGTGCTTAGAAAAGGATTTCTTTGAACTCATAAAGAATTTTTTGCCCTAATAACTATGACAAAATGACCAAGAGGGGTGAGAAAAGAAGAGAAGTCCCCTCATGGAGAGCTATTATTCTCCTTTACCTGTTCACAAAGAGATGACTTAACACCCGGTTAAGTTTCTGGAACATTAAAGATGATTAACTTAAAGCTGGTTCGCTTTTAGTTTGATCTTTTAAAAATAATAATACTATTATGTCACAGAAAAAAACCCTCAAGAGCTTACGTTTTTTGATGAGCATGCTACCTGCCCTTCGAACTCCTACGTTAATCCTGGTATCAAGCAGCCATTTTCCAATCATCAGAGAAATTATCTCTGGGCTGCAGACTCAACCACAACTCTGCACTTTTGTCTCTTTCAGCGTATAATGACAAGATTGTGGCATTTCTTCGCCAGCCAAACATTTTTGAAATGTTGCAAGAGCGTCAGCCAAGCTTGGCGAGAAACCACGTACTCAGGTAGGGGCTTGTCCCTCGCCCTGTAACGCCAGGTGTCTCCAGCTAGTTTTCCAGGTGGGACTACACGTCTGTGGAGAGAGAGCAGAAGTTTATAATGCATTTTATTTGTGCATTTAAATTATAACTTACTCAAAATGAAGAGTCCGGGGGGTTCTAGTGTTCTCAGAAGTGTCGCAATCAGAGATAGTCATATTGTCAGGTTGCTAAAATGATACATGATGCTAAATGATTTCCACTGACTTGAAGGGGAGCACGGAAAGGGAGCAAAATCGCTTTCATTTAAAAATTATTTATGTAAAGCACCATATAAATTATTTTTATTTTTGAAATATAATTGTTTGATGGTAAACAGGATATTAGATGACATATTCAAAAGTAAACAAACAAACAAAAAGTATCATATATGTTCTAACTACTTAAATCCTGTTGTCCATTAGGGTCATTTTTGAACGAGTGTCTCTGAAACCATGAATCACTTCATTTGGAAGGGGTAGCCACCCAAAGTGATAAAAAGAGAAAATATCCTCTGAGCTTAAATTCCGCTTTCTCACCAAGATGTTCAAGCATCGCTCTCCTTCTCTGTACTACCCAGCGTTTCACAAGCTGGAGATCAATAGTGTCTAAGTGTGTCACCTTGGAGTTTGAATTCTCCCTCCAGCACTTAGGGACTATTGGCCAAAGCGTGTTATTCCATCCCCCACCCTCCACCCTTCGCCTCCTCATCACTGAAACAGGTCACGATTCAGGCATTGTTGAGATGCTTAAATGGGGCTGTGTGTAAAGGGCCAGGTAGGGTGGGTGGGAAAGCAGTCACTGACGGCCTCTACCTCCTCACCTCCCGTGGGGTGGTCTTTTGAATCTGGCTGACTGTAATACTCTAGTTTGACCTCCTCAATGAATCACCAACACCTGAAAATAACCTCTTTGCTATTCAAATCTTCATTAGTCCTGCCCGGATGGATCATTCACTATTCTTTCCCTTCCACCACCCTCTCGTTGACACCTCTCTTCCCTGTGTTTTTACCCGATGTAAATTAGAGCCACCATGCCCCCAACTGCCTATGTTCTCAACTGCTCCCTCCTTTTCATCTCCACATTTGAACATTTGCCGCCTCACTTTCCCTCTTCCAGCCCTTCTTTCTTCTTCTCCCTACCATAGTCTACGTTTGGGTCCTCATCATTTCTCTCCTGGGCTTTGCTGGGATCTCTTAGAAGACATCCCCTATCGCCCTACTATAACCAGAATTACCTTCTTACAGCACAGATCAAATCCTGTCACTCCTGCCCTTCAAAAGAGCTTTCATGGCTCCCACTGTATATGAAATAAAGTCAAGATCTTTATGCACAGTTTCTGGCCCTAACCTAACTCTCAATCCTTCACTAGTTGTTTCCTTCTGGTATCTTCCACCTCCACTAAGCGGGCTGTGTCCTCTCCTACCTCTGCCCTCCCTGGAATGACTTCTCTCTTGAGGGCATCTCATCTCATTTTAAAGGCTCAAATCAAATGCAAAGATTTGGTGATCCAGGCAGATTTTAGTATTTCTTTTGTCTTGCTATAACAGCATTCTTTTTTGTACCTCTGAGATACTTTTCCATTATCTCTTATATTCTGTCACATGCTTATGTCTCCCCACAACACTACAAGCCCTTTGGAGCAGGACCTATATATTCCCTGTCTTCGTACCCACTCTGCCCCCTCAGAACCTGGTTCTCTACTTTGAAGATAGGAAACGCTAGTTACTTTTAGAGCGAATGAAAGGTATTTAGCACGAACAGATGAGCTTTCACATGAGTAATTGTCACTTCCACTTATATTCAACTCTACCCAAGTTTCGTTACTGTGCCACAGAAGCCAGTGACATGCTCAGTCCTATGGGTCATTTATTTTTGGGCTACTCTTTGACTCACAGTACATAATAATTTAAGGGAATTTCCGAGGGAGTTTTAGAGGAGTTATACTACCTGAAAAGTTTCTGACACATTGCTGCTCTCGAACGTTTTTTATATCACTCATTCTACCCTAAGTGATGAGATCACTGCTTACTCTCTGGAGGAACTTGAACTAGAGTCCCATTTAAATCATTTGAAAAGTAAAAATAAAAAGAACCCCCTGTGTGAAAGAGTGGAATATATTTCCAGAGGGAAGTAAATTTTTCAGCCCTGTTGTGTAATATTGTGTTATAACAAAATCCAAGAAACCTTAAAGATTTTGTTGCAGTGTGGAATTGTACAATTATGATTTTCCAGATATGTGGGGACTTGGAAGCAGGGCCTGTTGGAGCTGGAAAAACCATAGAAATGATCTAGTATAGAAACTAATAATCTTTTTGAAGTTGTGGACTCCTTTGAAGATCTGAGAAAAACTATCATACACCCTCCGCTACATGTAATCATAAATCTTTGCATGTGTTTCAAACAGTTAATGGACCCTAAAGGACCTGTGGACCCCAGGTTGAGAACCCAAATGTCTGCTCAAAAACAGAAGGCCCACAGTGACATAAGAAACTGACTAAGAGGCCATGGAATTAAAAGGGCAGAATGTCAAGAGCAAGAACTTGCTCTTCAAGGGGTCAGGCTTAAGGGAACCAGGAAGCTGGGCACTGCTCGCTATAACTAGGCCTCTACTTGCCCCTGGATGTGATGCGAGGGTGACTCAGCTCTATTTTAAAAGTCTGAAAGTTGAAAAGAAAATCACCTCTCCCCGTGACCCTGCCCAGAGGAAGAACTTATTGCTTCCTCCGTGGTTCCCAAGTGGGGACCATGTCTGCTGTTCAGCCATTGCTGTTCTCAAGGAGCCATGGCTCCACCTTCTTGGGTCCACAAAACCAGTTTCTGGGTTAAAGAGTGGAGGGTGCATTCTCAGAAAACTGTGTTCAGCAGACAGCAGTGAATCATAAGGAAGCCACACGTGGAGGGGGAAGATGGAGCCAGAAAATCTGGAGGCTAATGATGTTGTTAACTTTGAGGATCGTAGTAGCAGTCCTCATTCATTCATTCTTTCCTTCAGCTAGTGCTTCTACTGTGCAACCACTCTGAATCAGGATTGTGTAATGCAGTAGCAAGCAAAACCGACACAGGCCCTTCTTTCATGGCACTTACAATCCACTGAGAGAGAGAGATGATAGACAAGTTTGGTTTGTTTGGGTTTTTTAGGCCAAATATTTGGCTGTAGAATGTGTAAGGGCCGTGAAAGACATGATCAGCATCCGATGATAGTGGATAAGGTGCAAGTACTGAGGAAACAAACTCAGCACCAAGACAGAAGACAGGGAAGCCTTTCCCAGGGAGGCGGAGCTGGATGAGAAGGAGCTCTCCCTGACATGGAAGGTGAGGATGAGGGGGAGAGTGTGCAAAGGCCCTGAGGAGGAAAAGCTTTATGTAGGTGAAGAATGAAAGAAGTCCAGTATGGCTCGGGGGTAGATAGGGAGGGAGACAGGGGACCACAGTGAAGGTGGAGAGAGGAGTCTTGTCGGCAATGGGAAGGAGCTGAGATTTTATTTGAAGTGCAATTTTATTTGAGAAGTGATTAAAGAGTTTTCAGCAGGAAAGAAAAGATGGTTGTATCTGTGTTTTTGGTGACCACTTGGACTGCTCTCCTCTGTGGAGAATGGACAGACCGGAGGTGGGGCATAAGATAGTGCAGGGGGCTGCGTGGGAGACTATGATATTAATCTACTTGAGAGATGATGGTTGTACAGGTGATGGGAGAGCATGGAGGGAGAGGAGCGAGCAGCTTGTGGTGATACTGTGAGTGCAAAAACAACAGAAGCTGATGACAGCTTGAATGTGGGGGTGAGGAGACAAGAGAAAGTAGGAATGACAGCTGGGGTGGGACAGCCAGATCAGTGGATAATGATGTCTGTCTTAGCCTATTTGGGCTGCTATAACAAAACACCACAGTCTGGGTGGCTTATAAACAGCAGAAACTTTTGCTCACAATCTGGAGGCTGGCAGTCAGAGTCCAGGGTGCCAGCATGGTCAGAGTGAGGGCCCTCTTCCAGGTTGCAGACCACTCATACCCACACGTGATGGAAGGGACCAGGGAACTCTGTAGGGTCTCCTTTTTAAGGGCACTAATCCCATTCGTAGGGTTCCACCCTCCTGACCTCATGACCTCACCTCTGAATATTGTCACATTGGGCATTAGTATTCCAACATGTGAATATCAGAGTGTCAAACATTCAGACCATAGCAGTGTCATTTACTGAGATGGGGAAGATGGAGGAGGCACTGGCTTGAGTAGAGGGAGAATGTCCAGGATTTCATTTTGGATATTGCATTTTGAGGTCTTTGAGACCATAAGTAGAGATGACAAGATGTCAAGGAGGCAGGTGGCTCTACCGGCCTGAGCTCCGAGGACAGCTTTGCACAGGAGTTTTCCTGATGGCCAGAGGATATATGCAGGAGAGGCAGATGGCATTCTCAGCCCCAGAGATCTTCCCCAGTTCTCACTACCTTTGGGATGGAGTCCCAGGGGCACTGGGAGGCCCTCAGACCACTGGGTCTGCATGAGATGTTCATAGACATCACAGGGGGTGTAATGTCCTATGGAGAGCCACCAAAACTCTCAGAAAAGTGGCATGGCATTCTGACACATGGCTGTGGCCTGTGTGGGTGGTGCAATGGTAGAACCACCACATTGGGGTGCCGCTTTCCATGACTGGGAAGGGCACTCTGCTGCCCTAGTAGGGTTGACCCTCTTTGGACTTGCTTTCTCCAGGGATGCTGAGAACCAAAGGTGATCCATAGAGTGCCCTCCCCCTTTCTCCCCTAGGCTGGGAGACCAGGGGCGTACCCAGATGTGGGTCCCTTGGAGCAGCAGGATGCTCTGCACCAGGGACATTGTCATTGGGAGAGCATATAACTTTGAGGCCCTTGATGGGGCTGAGGTCAGTAAACCAGAAGAGCAGATCCATGGGAGTCTTCCAAATGAGAGGCTGGGAGGTGGTGTCAGGATTGGGAGGACAAAGCTCAGGCACACGGGGTCAGGACATAAGGACATGGAAGGAGGAACACGTGCTGGAGGAGGTGTGGTGCTTGCATTCTTGGCTCACCTTCCACGTGCTTCCTGCAAAATAATGTGTGTACAGGTCTGCTCCATTCTTCAAACCCCTGGGCAGAGAAGCCACCCTGAGCTCCCCCCCAGGATTTGGGAATCGCATTTACTACAGTGGTACTCGACCTAAACTGAGAGCTGGGGTCACAGTGCATTTTTCTGTTTAATCCCATTTTGTGTATCTTTGTAGAGGCCAAGAAGTTGCCCTTGTCTTTTTTAAAAAAATACCCACACCGAAAGGTCAAGTTCATTATATTTTTGCCTGAAAATATGCAAGTTATGATGAAGATTTAGATTCATGTTGTATCATCAGAGAGAGGAAAATTTGTGTCTGCAGTATTTTTATAAATAGATTTTTAAAAAGTCATCCATTGGAGGAACCTGAGTAAAAGGTACACTGGATCGCTGTGTATTAATTTCTTAGAATTACACGTGACTCTAAGATCATCTCAAAATAAAAAATTAAACAAAAAAAAAGAAAAAAGTTAAATATCTTTAAAACTCAATCCTTAAGTCTTCCCAGATTTCTGCTGCATCTCTTCAAAAAAAGGGAAAAAATTTAACTACTTTGAAGCATGCATACAATAGAGTGATTCTTGACCATGGTGTTTGTAATATTTGAATGTCAGAGAATCAAATTACAAAGTTCCTTTGATCAAAATAAATGCTATTCATCCACAGACTTATTGGAATAATTTGCTGGGTTGGAGTTGGAGGTAGTGGAAAAGGATCAGAATGCGTGAATTGTAACTAAATAGAGAGAAATTGATGCCTGTGCTCAGACCAACCTGGGAGACCCTCCTGTGTTCCGCGGGCCAGCCCCTCTCTGTGCCCAGTGTGGCCTTATGCATTTTCCATCAAGCATAAGGTTTCTCAAGAGGCGGCCCCTCACTCTTTCCTCTGCCAGCTTCCAAGACGCCCTGAGCCCACAGTCCTTCAGCCGCTCTCTTTACCCAGCTCCGCTCCTGACTGTCGTGGGTATCCGAGGACCTCTCTTGTGCTCCTCAGCTTTGGTCCCTGTGTGAGTCGGAGGAAAGGCCGTGCCTTGTAGAGCATTGTAGGAACTGCAATACGAACTTAAAATACGGTGAAATACACTGGACGTTAGGACATTGCTGTTCAGCCATATTGGAAAGAAAAAAAGGGATCCAAAGGGACATAGTCCTTAGCCTATGAGTTGGTGTGTAATCATTATTTTCTTTCCCACATTATTCTAGGGAGAAAATCCATTACATTCGGACTGAGGGTAATCATGGGCTTGAAAAGTTGTCCTGTGATGCAGACCTAGTCATTTTGCTGAGGTAAGGGGCTAAGCCTGAAACATTCTGGAAAAGCTGCCCTGGGCAGTTCTCCACTATAGCCCAGACTGAAACACTTGCCATTTGTTCTAGAAGATTCTACTGGCTGTGACTGAAGTAGGGCCACCCTTGTACCTGCTATCCATTGCCTTCTTTACATTTACAACTTGGGGTATCAAGAGCTACGCATAGTACTTGGTGTAAACTTTGCTGTAGGATTAACTAGGGTTTAAAATAACTCTGAGGGGCTAGACCCAGTGGCCTAGTGGTTAAGTTCAGTGTGCTCCACTTTGGCACCCTAGGTTCAGTTCCCAGGGGTGAACCTACACTACTGGTCTGTTAGTGGCCATGCTGTGGCAGCAGCTCACATACAAAAAGAGTAAGATTGGCAGCAGATGTTAGCTGGGGGCGAATCTTCCTCAGCAAAAAAAAAAAAAAAAAAAAACACCAAATTTTTTAAATAACACTGAGAATTTGCATGCTGAGATATGCCTGTCTTTTATACTACAACTGAATCTCAGTGCTGTCGTTGCCTTGTGAAAACTGTGACTGCTGTCACTCCACTTCGTGAACACTCTCTCATGGACGGAGAACTAACCTTTTGTATTTTCACTTTGCAGTCTCTTTGAAGAAGAGATTATGTCCTACGTCCCCCTGCAAGCTGCCTTCCACCCTGGGTACAGCTTCTCTCCCCGCTGTTCACCCTGTTCCTCCCCTCAGAACTCCCCAGGTAACTTGAGCATCTCAGTCTGTCTCCTGTAAGTGGCCATCTGTGTTTCCACAGATGGAGGTGGAAGAAGGGCAATGCGACTTGTCCTCTCTTCACCGCACCCCCTCAATTTTCTGGTGGAAAGCACACAGTCTACACTGGGTGATGACAAATTGCCACCTGCCTTTGCGATGCACACAGCTAGAATGCCTTTTACATTTTTAAGTGGTTTGAAAAAACTTTTTACAACAACCATTTCATAACGTGAAAATTATGTGAAATTCAAATTTCAGTGTCTGTAAATAAAATTTGATTGAAACCGTGCCCCACTTGTTTATGTATTTTCTATGACGACTTTCACACTATAACGACAGAGTGGAATAGTAGCGACAGAGACCATATGGCCCAAAAAGCCTAAAATATTTACTGTCTGGCCCTTTACAGACAAAGTCTGCCTACCTCTGCTCTAAATTGCTGTTGCATTCCAAGCATGCCCTCCAGGCATTCAAAGGGAAGCGCCCTCTCTGAAACATCCTGCCTTATGACTCAGAATGTTATTAGTTACAAATTTGGGTAACTTTTCATTAAGTTGTAAAGGGGTTCCTGGGCTATTCGTTACTAGGGACCATCATTGTGTCCCCACGAAGATGCCAAACAGTGTTCTTATGTGATATGAAACTGTTCTCCCAAAGTTTTCTTTATGTGTTGGAATGAATTTACTCCTAATTCAAAAAGTCTTTGTAGGTATTTTCCATTCCAAATGAGGAGATATATATTGAGCTCCTTAGTGAAAAAAGAAGATATCATTTCCTGGGTTCATCGAGATAATTAGCTTAACTAAAATCCATCCCCCCTAAACGGGATCCAGATATTGGAGAGTTTTTCCCCATTTGTTTGGTTTGCATTATCGCATTATTGTAAGTCTCTGTAGTAACCCCAAATTTCTTTTTACAACTTTTGAAAATAAAGGAAGTTAGTTTGAATAATTTAGTAACTTCCTGTCTTATGACCTCTGAAGTTGGAGTCCAAGCTTGGCTTTTGAAGCCAATGGGGAAATTCAGAAGAGAAGGAGTTTGGCAATATGCTCTGTCCCTCAGAAGCGGTGTCTCACTCAGTGTCACTCTCTAAAACTAAAATCGCCATTAGTTTGGCTCCTTCAGGTCATGTCATTCAGAACTGTCTCTTAGAGGTAGTTTTGCTAACTGCTAAAATCTGTTTTTAAGTCAGTGTCTCATTGTTGTCACTTCCTCCAACAAGTATACCGATGTTACTGTTAAGCAAATGCCCAACGCACGCTTCCTCTGCCATCCAACGTTACTGAGATGGCATGACCTGGGAAAAGGAGGGCCAGGAGCTTTGTCAGAGCCAACATCAGGACAATCAGATGTGTCCAGTGTGCACAGGGTGACTGACTTTTGGGAAGCAGAGGCTTCCATGAGGAGAAGCTGTTGGTCTGCATGATAATCTGCCATTTTGTTGTAGAGATTGTCCCAGCCTGCTAACCTGTCTACACTTGGTCCAAACACTTGGCAGTAAAGTATGATTTTAACATCATTACATGGGGGAGACATCATATTGCAAATAGGATAATAAGAGAGAATAAAGAGTTATTTGTTAAAGGAGCATGATTTGGATAACTTTTATAAAAGAAACCAGCTTTCCTGATAGAGACATTACTGATGCCATGAATCCAAGCAGCCATCCAATTCATTTTGTCAAAGTGCTCACTTCTTTGTTCTCCCAGCTTCGATTGACCGTGGGGTCCTAGATTATGGAATCCAAAGACTTTGATGTTAAATTTTACAATTCCCATTTGTCCAGATTTTTATGCAATTTCCCTGGGTGCTACAGTGATAGGGAATTATAGACATTTATGCCAAAGTACTTTGTGAAGCATAAATTATTAGCAAATGCATAGCAGTGGCCATGGGGATAGTGGTATACCCACAGCGGTGAAAGTCCTATTATAACATATACTGTAATCTGCTGGACAGAAAAATATGCTTGCACCTTCAGACTTGTATTCTGGTTCTACCTGTGTCCTGAAACCTGGCATTTCACTGAAGATACGACTTTATAAGTGGTGGCTGTGGGTTCCCTCCCACACCACATGCTGAGGGTCCAAAGGTGGGGCTGGTGCCCCCCATGCTTCCTCGCTTATACCGCTCCACTCTATCTGCCCTCCTAGTTGCTGTCATCTACCAACCTTTGCTGTTTCTCAGACTGTGGCACCTGACTCATGGTCCCCCTCTCCTTCCTGGGTCCTTCCATCATCCTCGATGACTGCAGCATCCACAAGGGCACCCATTCAGTTCCCTGACCTCCCAGTTTCTGGACTTCCTTGTCTGCAATGACCTTCTCCTCCTCCACCTCAACCACATCCTCCCACAGACACCTTCCTGCCCTTGTTATCATCTCTCAAATCGCTGACTCAAGCATCCTGCTCACGTCCAACATGCCTTTTCAACTATTCCCCCTATTTCCATCTGTTGCCCTCATCAGGACCTCCAGCTCATGAACGCCTCTCCTTTCCTTTGCCCCTTTCCCTTATCCAGCGTAGATTCCATGGTTTATCATTTCAGGAACATCCTTGCCAAACGCCGAGACTCCCCTGACCCTCTCCTTTGGTTTGCAGAACTCCAGCTCTGGATAAACCTGCTCTCTGCTTCCTCCACATCCGTAGTCAGGCATTCTTGGGAGAATTCACTTGACAGGGCAGGTCATTAATTAGGAATTGAAAACCCAAAAGAAAATTCTGCCATATTTTTTCAGTAAATTTATGTCTTCTCTACTGCCATTTCAAATTTTTCCTCTCCCCTCAAACGTTCAACCCCGTGTGTCTCTCCTCGAAAATGGTATGTCCCTTCTTCCTTCACTGAGAAAATTAAAGCCATTAGACAGAAACTGTCTCAAATGCCTGCTACCAATCCTACACGCCTACCAAGCCTGGCCCCACCCGCTCCCCTTCCTGCCTGTGCGTTAGAGGAGGTGTCTCTGCTAAGGTCGCCATGGCCTCTGGGCACCCAGTCCAGTGGGTAATTCTCAGCCCTCCTCCCGGTTTTTCAGCCACATGTAATATTACTGACTGCTCTCCCCCTTCAGTCACCTCTTCAGTTGGCTTCTGTGACACCACTGTATGCGTCCATCTACCTTTGGGCCACCTTTGCAGACTCATCCTTCACCTCTTGTCATCCTCAACACTCAGTCCCAGATGTTTTCTCTTTTCTCTCCAACTACGTTTCTTTCTAATTAAACATTCAAAGGTACTGCCATCAAAGACCAAGCTCATGATCTCCCCCACAAATTTGTCCTTCCATTGTTCCCCATCTCAATGTCACCAGAGTCCATTCAATTACAAAATCTGAAACCCACCTCTCCCTCACTACCTATATCCAATCCATTGCCTCCTAAACATCTCTCCAATCTATCCACTTCCCATCTCTACTGACACCACTCTAGTCCAATTTAGGCTGTCTCTACTGCAGAAAGACTGATGTTTTCATAGCTCAAGTCACATCCTGTCAGCCCCCATGCAATGGCTTCCTATTGTGCTTAGCATTAAACAAAATTGCTTAACAGAGTATATCTTATCCTGTTTGATTGTCTCCTGCCCCCCTCTCAAGCCTCGTTTTGCATCACTTTGGTCCTTGCAGCCTGTGTTACAGATAAACTGGAGCACTACTTTCCATTCTGCCACAGGGCCTTTGCACACACTGATCCTCTACCTAGATTGCTTTTCTTTTCCCAGCTCGTCTCTTCTCCTAGTTAAACTGAAGCCCTTCCTAATTCACTCAGTCTAATTCATGCCTACTTATTCTTCAGATATTCCCCAGGGAAGGCTTCCTAAACTTGGCCAGAGTGTTCTGTGGTCTCAAAGAACTGTGTTCCTTGCTTTCATGGGTAGCAATCATCTCAACTTGTAATCATCTTCTCACTTCTGTGAGTTTGTTGGTATCAGTCTTCTCTAGATTATAAATTCAGTACCTGGAATCTTGTAACTAATAAGTAGTTATTGAAGGAGCAAACCGTGATTCTGGCCTTCTGTAAAACTTAGAGAAGAATGTTATTTTTTCTATTCCTTTTTCATTAAAAGGTGTGTAAAGATAATAAAGCATTTATTATCTAATCTAATATAAACTCCTAAATGCTCTGGGCCCTAGTGGACAGGTGTGTTTATTTTTGCATGTTTATTATTTTGATTTTTCAATATCAATATAGTTAGTGAAGTAGGACATGCACATATGTTACAATCCTACTTGCCTCATTGTAGTCACAATCACATCTTATAATATAGCAACCCACAGGAAAAGATTAGTCTAGTTTGATCTATGTTGTCTTAGATATTTAAGTGCAATTAAGCCAAGAAATAGGCTCATCAAGGTACTTTTAAGAGAAACACAACTGAAATGGAGTGGAAGACATAAATATTTATTGTCATCAGAGTTCATTCTTCTCCTGACTGTATTCTGTTTCTTATCAAAGTCACTGAGGGAGCGATGGCAGCAAGGGAAACCTCTTGGAGACACAAGTGTGAAGACACAGGAACGTGCCCCTGGCTGCCATTCCTCTTGCGTGGCTCTGCCCATTGGTTCCTTGTTATAGAGCGAGGACCTTCAGCCCGTGTGCTTCCCTCTGCAGGTTTACAGAGAGCCAGCGCAAGAGCCCCTTCGCCCTACCGGAGAGACTTTGAGGCCAAGCTCCGCAATTTCTACCGAAAACTGGAAGCCAAAGGATTTGGTCAGGGTCCAGGGAAAATTAAGTGAGTGCCCCAGTGCTTGGCACTGGATTCAGATGATCCATTTTTCCCTCCCTTTCTCCCCCATCCCTTGTAATATGTTTTGGAGATTGAGTACCATGGTGCGGTAGCAGGTATGCCCATAGAAGGGAGGAAGCAAAAAAAGGAAGTTGGAAAGAAAGAAGAAAGGAAGTTAAGAAACTGAAGGGGGGCAGGAAGGGTAGGGAAGAGAAGAGAAGGCAAGAGAGAAAGAACAGTGGATTTCAGACAAAGGCATGTATAAAATCAATGGTAGACCTTTTCAGAAAACAAGGACTTGGGAACTAAATAAAAGATCTTATATTTCCCTTACTTATTCTTGGGACAAATTTAACTCTATAGTCAAATTCATAGACTCTTTGTAACTGTGTAATTTGGATAGAAGTAAAAAGATGTGTCGGTTTTTTTTCACCTTTTGAGTTTATTATTTTCATCTTGAAAAGCTCAACCCAAACTCAGGAATCCAACTTAAAAGATTCTTTTTGGAATTGATCAAAAAGAATCCTAAAAGTAGTCCAATATAATGGAGTGTATCCAATTATAAAAGTGTCCGTGTTGTCCTTGTCCTTTCAATGTTTTGAAAAGAGTTCAAATGAGTCCATCGCTGAGAGGGCGGGATCTGGACCTCGTTGGAGAGGCTGGGGAGTGAGACCGTGGGCCTGGGCGCTCACAGCTCACCTCACACCCTCTCCAGCGTTGGCGCTGTGGAGCCACGGCTCCCCGCCCACGTGGCTGCTGCTTCTCCCCAGGCTCATCATCCGCCGGGACCACTTGTTGGAGGGAACCTTCAATCAGGTGATGGCCTATTCCCGGAAGGAGCTCCAGCGAAGCAAGCTCTACATCACGTTTGTTGGAGAGGAGGGGTGAGGCACCAGTGGTTTTATGCAGACAGCTCGGTGTGGGTGAACCTGAGCCCCTAATTTGAGGTGATTTTTCTCAAGCAGGATCAGGGTGGCTCTAAGCCTTTGCCCCAAGGTGATTCTGATCAAGTCCTCCCAGGAGGCCTTTCTCTCCAGGTATTGCCAAGCTTTCAGTTTCACGTTCTTCAAAAGCCTACGATTATTGGCATGTGCTAGAGTCTGACATTATGTGTCAAAGTATAAACCAAAAATACAGTCCTCAGCTACTGGAGCTTTACTTTTTCAGGTGGTGTACAGTTCTGAGTATCGGATCAAAGAGTCCTTCTGCCTAGGGTGCACATATATGACTGCATGCCAAATTATTCATATAATTTCAGCGATTTCATGGAAAACCATCTCCACCACGAAGGGCAAGCCCACCTGGGAGGGCATAGCAGAAGGAACTTGGAAACTTTTCAATTCATACACATGCACACATGCACACACGCATGCACGCGCTGTCGCAGGAAATTCTTTTGCACCTCCTGCAACAAAGTCCCTGTTTTTAACGGGCCAGCTGTGTGTTTTATCCAATAGGTGTTACATGATCGAAAAGAGGTTAAGGAACACTGCCAAAAGAGTTCATTCATGGACGTCTGAGTAAGAACATCCCCAAACCAGTATGGCGTCCTTGTTTTCTACAGCAAATTGATACTTGCATTGGGATCCACTTAAAGAGCCGAGGTCGCTCTCTGGTTTCCCCAGCACCGACTCTGAAAGGCACACTAGCACCTGGATAGACACCGTCCCCACGTCCCGCACATAATGAGCTCCTGGGCCTCTGCTTCCTTTGCAGCCTGGACTACAGTGGTCCTTCGCGAGAGTTCTTCTTCCTTTTGTCTCAGGAGCTCTTCAACCCTTACTACGGACTCTTTGAGTATTCTGCAAATGATACTTACACCGTGCAGATCAGCCCCATGTCTGCGTTTGTGGAAAACCATCTTGAGTGGTAAGATCTGGAATTTTTGCTTTCTTGTGTTTGAATGGTCTAGGCTTTCTTAGTCAGAAGTCAACAGCATTTCTTGAGGGCCACAGTGTTTCTGAGGGGTGTTGAGAGTGAATAACAGCGCACTAGAAAGAGGACTCTGTTAGTCTGCACCCAGAATGCAAAATAAGTTACTAAAGACACTGCAAATTGATAGAAGATACAGTAATTGCCTTTGGAGGAGACACTAAGGTCAGTAGATATCAGTTGTGAATGTTAATAATTCTACTAAAATCACGAGAGTCTCCAGCAGAGGCTTCTTAGAGGCAGTCATGGGTTCTCTGACCTTGGACCAATGATTTTAGCACTGTGGACATCAGCTTCTGCATCTTACTGTAAAATAAGGCTGTTGTGACAGATCGTCTCTCAGCATCATCTTGACTGAAAAATCCAGTATCTGGTTCTCTGCTATGGAGGCATCTATTACCGCTTACTGATATACGTGTAAGGAGAGAAGTCTCAGTCAATTCTGTGCAGTTCTGTGGGTGAGATACCTCAGACATAGGGTATTAGAAGCCTCCCGAAAGCTACCTGGGACATCTGGGATGCAGGCACTTTCCTGCTGTGTCACCACCACACCTGATTTGAAAATTAGCCCTGCTTTCGCTGCGGGTGCTCCTGCTGTGAAGAGGGAAATGAGCCCTGGAGACTGCTAGTGTGGGTTCTTATCTGAGACTCCTTCTTTATAATGTGTTGCCGTGTCTGCTGGTGAAGGGAGCTTCTGGGTCATACCTGGGCCTGCTGGGTTTATCCCAGTATTTTGGTTTTATAGCATCAGAATAACCCCCGTCTGCTAAGGCTTCCAGCTATTGCACATGCCCTCTTTCTCCAAGCACTCTCAGCTCTGAAGGTCTTGAGGTAAAACAGGAGTGTCTGCATCATGTGTTTGGCACAAGTGAAGAAACAACAGTTGCCCCGTGTCGTTCCTTTTCCTGTAACTTATCAATAAGCGGATAATGAAACTGTGAGACAGAAACACACAGACAGGAGGCAGGTGGAGTGGGCAAGACTTATGACCCTAAGAATTGAATGCCAGCTCTCCCTGAGGCCACATTCAGGCAGGTTCATTCCAACAGTAAAGAGTACTATAACCCATGACACAAGAACATGTATGCACACAGATTGTGCTTAATATCCCTCAATGCTCTCTTAGTCTGTGAGTATGGAATTTAAGATGGTGTCTTAGAGGACACATCTTAGAGGATTGGAATCAGCAATCAATAAAGAAATATTTTCACCAAATATCACACCACGTAGGACAATCCTAGGTGTTGTGGGAATACCTTCATTAATTTAGCAATTATAAATTAAGCACATACTGGGTGCTGGGAGGATACAAAGATGAAATGAGCAAGATCTCTGTCCTCAAGGAGCTGTAGTGGGAGGAACACGTGAGTAAACCGACAATTACAATACATCTTAAATGCCAGATTATACATATGTAATACGTGTGTGTGTGTGTGTAAGACTAAAATGCAAATATAAGCCTGAGAATTGTATTATATCACAAGGAAGAATGTTTCCTTTAGCCCAAGGTAATAAGAGGGTATGGAGACTGAAGCCAGGATCTTATAAAAAGAGGGGGTGATTGCACCGAGTCTTAAGGCACAGTTGAATAGGAGACTCAGCAGACAAGTGGAGAAAAGACATGTCGAGGAGCCAAAATTGGAAGTAAGAATTGAAAGGTGTGAGAGGGAATGGAGCCTTCAGCAAGCAGTGTGGACGGACCAGAGCAGAGACTGACCTTTGGGGTTGTGGTGGGCAGTGAGGCTGGAGACAGAAAAGAGAAACAGATGGTCATATCCCATATGGAAAATACTATAATTGGATTTGTGTTTTTTAAAAAGTAAATCTTGCCATAATGTGGAGAAAATTTTAAGGAAGTAAGACCGGAAAGACCAGACCAGCCCTGAAGCTGTCAGTAAGACAGGAGACATAGAGGGTCAAAAACTGTGGCAGAGGCAGGGTCCCAGAAGGAAGGGGCTGACTATAGAGACATATCAGAGGGAGACGAGATTGAACTAGTTGGTTCACTGATTGAATGTTGAGGTGACGGAAGAGAGAATAAGTCAAGGTTTCTGGTTACACAATTGAGTGGATTGATACTATCAACTGTGATGGGAGTTACGTGAAGTAGATGGCATTTAGAGGATAGATGAGGAATGCACTCTTTGACAGGTAGACTTTGCAGTTTCTGTTATGTATACAGGTTGACATATTAATATGTAAGTGGAACTATAGCCCTGGTGAGCAGGAGAGCAGTTGGGCTAGAAATGAAGACTTGGGAGACGAGACACCGAAATAGATGGAGTGGCTCAGCCGTGGGTGGAGGTGAGAGCACTCAGAGCTTGTGCAGGCAGAGCAGAGCTAAGGCCCACAACAAGATGGGCCACGCTGATGTGTAAGGGGTGGGCAGAGTCAAAGGTCCCAGAGGGAAGCTGAAAAGGAGGGGCTCAGAGCCTGGGAGGCGTGTGATGAGAGAATGAAGAGGCCTGCTGGAAGCAGGAGGTGCTCAGAAGACCTGAGGGGAGAGGAGGGGGCAGTTTGAAAAGGCTGGAGGGGGTATGTAGGCAAAAGAATGGGATCTCCAGGGACTCAGAGCATAAGATTGGGAGGACAGAGCTTAGAACATCAGGGAGTACGAATGTTCAGATGACAAAGGGAGCTGCATTTTGATGGTGGCAGAGGGGAACAGCGATAGGTGCCTTGGTGGCATGAATGGGACAACATTCTGAAGAAAACCTTGGAGTCAAGTACGGTTCATGCAGACACAGAGTAAGGCCACAGGCAAAGGCCTACTGGAAGGCACTGAAGACTCGCTGGGCTGCGGCCTGCTCGTTTGCTACTTGACTTGGCCTCAATCACTTTCCACTGGGGAAGGCACCTCGCCAGCTGCCCAGCCTCGGCTCTCACCCTGATTTCGTTGCCTTCTGCTCATCTCTGGCATGCAGGGGCTGACGAGGCTGTCAATGTGTCAATTGTACTTTCTCTCATTGAGGAAGCAAACTATGTGATACAAGGATGTTGTAAAAATTAGCAAAATTCTCTGGATGGATCCCCTCCAAAGGTCAGAGGCCCAGAAGTGCCTATCCTGAGGTGCTAGTTAACTCTTTCCAAAGGGAAGGACATGAGGACTTTGATCCACTGACTTTCCTTTTCATGTTGGGAATATTTGCTGTGTAGACCGGAAAGAAAATTGCAGGTAGCTTTCTGACCAACTAGAGATCTAAACAAAGCTCACACAGAGGAGGGTTTCCTTTCAGTGCTGCACATTGGATGACCAGTGGCTATGAGGTGGCAGGGACCTCTGATCCAAGGCTCCAGCTCTGAACTTTGTTGCTGAGCCCTGGGCTGGTGGAGAAGCCGGGATATGGAACCAGCACAGGCACTGGATTGTATCACGAGCGTCCACATGGAGACCGGCTCTTCTCTCTTCAGTGCCTCAGAGGTCCCGGGTGAGGGGAGTGGGTTTTCTCTGGATGGTCACAGCCACAGCTGAGTGAACTTGAGCCACTGGGCAAAGCCTTCTTTAGCTTTGAACAGGAAGCTCTTTCTGGCAGTGCCATCTCAACCAGGCGGGAACACTGCCGCTATTCCCTCCAAGTATCTCCTTACCAGCCATCCTTGTGCCTTGAGGCAGATGGTTTTACAGAGAAAACTCACGGGGTTGCATTGCCTGTGTGCCTGAGTGCTCAGTCAGCTCTCTGGCCAGCATTTTAGTGAAGGGCACCGAGGAGGGCCCACAACTGGATAAAGTCACTCTGAGCCTTGCACAAAGTATGGGCAACAAGCCGGTGCTGAGGCCCTTGCCTGAGGCTTTGTCACTGTCATCCTACACCCGGGAGGTCGAGGACACTGAGGAAACCTGAATGCCAAGTTCTCAACTCTGATCACCCCACCAGGTGCTAGTTACCGCCAGCAGGATGGCGAGGCTGCAACTGATCTCAGACCTAGATGCGTGGCCCTCGTTTCTTCCTCACTCCCCAAGACCCGTTATCCCAGAATCCACACAGCCTGTGAGAAAGATGACACTTACTATGACCAGTACATGACTGATAAGAAAATAGAGACCAAAAAATTACAGGGCTCGTGACGGTAACAGCGTTGACTTTTTAAAACTGGGATTTGTCCCTGATGCAGGCCAGGCCGGGACAGGAGTCCACCTGGAAGGAGGAGTGACTTGTGCTCCCTGTGCCCCCCTTCACTCTGCAGACTGGTGTTGCAGACCAGAAACCAACAATAAGAAAAATGGTCAGCTTTACAGGATTAAATATCACTTAGGATTGAAATGTTGTTCAGGTGTGGATGCAGGAGACATCTGTGTGCTGATCTTTTTTTTTATTATTCTGGTTCTTTTTCTTTTCCTGACCTTCTTCTGTGTCCCATGGGACACAGGGATCTGTTTTGTCTGATCCCCCGTAGAAAGTCAGCTCCGTGGGAACAGAGACGGGTCTGTCTTATTTTAATCTAGCACATACCTGGCCCTTGAAGGTGTTCAAAATAACACTTCACTGACAATTGGGTGCATAAATGAGTATTTTGGCACAAGGCACACCGGTCACTTCCTTGTGTCAGAGCCCTTAAAATAAATAGGGGCCGCATATCTGCCATGTACAATTAATTTCTGAAAGGTCTTATGCTTTTGTTATCGTCTGTGGTTTTAAAACCCTTACAACATCAGTGATAAATGCACGTGTACCCTGGGAGCATTGCCCTCTACTCTGCATGATGGCCCCAAGGCTGCTTGTGACTGAGGGAAGGCCTCCACCTCCTCTCCCACTGCACCGTGCTGCTCTCTCAGCTGGTTCCAGGTCAGACACTACCTAAAGAGCTGGGCTGAGAGGTCTCTGACACATTGGGTCTTTCCCCTGCAAGCTCCCTTTTGATTATAGCTATTTGAGACTCTGTGTCTTCGTATTCACTGTGTGTAGGGTTCGCATGTGCTGGAATACAATCAGCAAGAT